GCACGAACGATAACTTGAATGGACAAATGTAGATTCTTCGCGGAGTTTTCTTCTCCTTTTTAATTTTTTTTAAAGAACTGTTTGGAAAATAAGGTATTTATCCCAAATATTTTATGGACTCTTAATAAGCAAGTAGATATAAAAATAAAAGATATTTTTAAAAATATTGAAATAAAAATAAAAAATAAAATGTAAAAAAATGAGAGTAAATCAGGAAGAAAGAATGCTTAAATAAAACTCTGAAATAATTTTCATAAAAGTTGATTTTAGAAATTCTTTTACATCCATAATTCTATTATTCTCATTATTTTTTTTCTTAATATTTTAATATGAACTGTGACGCAAGTTAATCAATTAAACATACGTAAATTGCCATGGAAGATAGAGATAATTAAATTGATGAAATAACTGGGAGAAATAATTGATCAGATGGGATTAAGAAAAGCTGACATGACAATAGCAAAATTTTAATTTTTAGTCGCCTGTTTTTCACGGAATAAAATATATATTTCGTTAGAGCGATAACCTTTTAACGTTGCCATCAAAAACTACTTAAATCATCTACAGACGTTATGGATAATGTTCACTCACTCTCTGCTCATTAATTGAACTCCAGACACGCCATATTCAGGAGATTAATTACTATCTCCACCCACTATATAAGTTATATATATATATATATATATATATATATATATATATATATATATATATATATATATATATATATATATATAATTATATATATATAATGCGTACGTATAGATATACAGAAATATAGATAAATATTTCCACCCACAATATAAGTTTTAAGTATATATATATATATATATATATATATATATATATATATATATATATATATATATATATATATATATATATATATATATATACAATGCATGTATATACATATATTTATTAATCTTTAATTATATACATGTGTATATATATACAGTTATATATATATATATATATATATATATATATATATATATATATATATATATATATATATATATATAATGCTTATGTGTAGATATAATAAAATATAGATAAATATGTGGGTGTGAAGAAAATATCCCACCCACGACTTTTTATAAAAACTGACAGCTATTGTCACGATATGTGTGGATATCATACCACGTCACAATTTAGATTTGTGAATATTTTACTAAGTGACAGTTACAAGGTTAACATAATTATACGATACCTCACAAATACAAGGTTAACATATACTAATATATCACAAATACAAAGTTAACATATACTAATATATCACAAATACAAAGTTAACATATACGAATATCTCATATCGTCCAAGTTTACTTGTGTGAATATCTCAACAAGAGATAGTTAACTGCTGTTATTTTATTTAGGAATCCACATCCCCAAACTGTTTTCTGTAAGAACATCATACATTTCATTTTTTACTTGACACGAATTATATAAGAATAAATAATTGTGTGTACTAAACGCGACTATCTCAGAACTCAAATCATTATTAAAATATTTTGGACTTCTATTTTTTCTCACTACACACCCTGTCTACCTAACTATATTATCTGTAGGGTAGAGTTAATCGTACAGACTTGTATAGATGCACTCTATTCCAGTATTTTAATCCACACGAACTTTTGACCCCGCCCCCACATTCCACACCACACAATAACAGGACTTAAGCGTGGGAATCAAATCAGTGAGAGACCAAATTTGAAAGGTTTCTGGAATAAATATAACTCAATTATAACTCACGTCAATGTAGGTGTCAATTTTATTTTAAAACCAATAATTAAATAAATAAACTATTGTTCTTAAAATATTTTTAAGGAAACATGATTTAAATGTATGAACAAATATTTTTTTTAATTAACTGCATAATTAAGGACGAATTATTAGTCACGTGATCAGTTAATGAGGCGATCGATGGTGACGTCATTAAAAGTGATTAACTTGACTGGACTGGGAGGTTCGATTAGCAAACACGTCCCGTGCGATTAATTATAATTTCTGCCATCTCTTTTAATGGATCGAAAATCGGCTTTGAAGTAACGTAAATAAATCGCCAAGACGATGAAGCGCGAGATTAGTTGTTCGTCAGCTAGCCAGATTTTTTTTCATTTTACGGCCAAAAGCAACAGATTTGGCATACATTTTTAATTACTTTTAAAAGCGAATTAACGATGTTTGAGGTTTTTTGTTTAATCTAACATTTAAATATTTTAAGTGTGCATTATTTATGTCGTGTTTGCCTAAAAGATTTTTAAACAATACATCTCCATGTAACCTATGTCGTTTCAAACCATGTGCGTTCTCAGTTAATGTGGTCTGTTCTAGTTTTTTAATATGATACCTCCTAGTTAAAGATGTATATTTTAACCATATGTCTTGGTTAAGATGTGTATGCCATACTTAAGGGCGTCCTTGCTAGACCTAAACGTAATTGACTTAGGTCACGAATAAAATATCTCCGTTCATGCATACAATAAGTCTCTTCGTGTTTGGATAGGTATTTTAATAATTTAATTTAAAATCCTCGTAACATAAGTTTGATTTTCATGGTCGTTTGAGTGTGGAAATATATAAAAGTAGTTCTAAATATTAGCTAATATAAATGAATGCCGCTAAGTTTGTGTTTTCGTGTCTCTATAACAGTCTGTGGTGGGATAATACAACAACCTAAATTGTCAATCGGGCTCCAACTTGTATCAGGTTCTTGGTGGTCTCAACATAGACTTGTTTTACTTGGGACAGTTGACTCTGATTAGACTTGTTTTACTTCGGACAGATGACTCTGATTAGACTTGTTTTACTTCGGACAGATGACTCTGATTAGACTTGTTTTACTTCTGACAGATGACTCTGATTAGACTTGTTTTAATAGGGACAGTTGACTCTGATTAGACTTGTTTTACTTCGGACAGATGACTCTGATTAGACTTGTTTTACTTTTACCAATAAAAGCGACACAACTATTGTGCCCCCCCCCCCCCTCCGTGAGACCTGACATATGCAGCACCGACCTGATTCTATCAACACGTGAAGTCTTTTAAGTCGGCTCTAACTTTAGCTCACAAGGTCAGGGCCGTTTGGTCTTCATTTGAGACATTTGAACAGATGTGGAGCAACTTTCTTTTCGGGGAAATCCGCATGGTTTTCTGAATACACAAACACATACACACACACACACTCACACACACATACACATACCCATATATACTCACATATATATATACTCATATATATATATATATATATATATATATATATATATATATATATATATATATATATACACACAAACTGAGCAATGTAGTACGGTCCGGAAATCAGGATTCGAACGTGGGAGACTTTCGTGATATCAGCCGTGGGCTCAACCTCCTGACCACGTCGTTCCATTTATATATGTGTATAAGAGTATGTGATTCTTCATTAGATGTGGGTTTGGTTGAAGATCAAACCAACCAACTAGTTTCGGGGAGGGAGGGGAGATAACCCTAGGACGTATATAAAGGGAGATAACACAAGGGCGATGAGAGGCCATCTGTTCAGAGATTCTATTCCTAGACATCTTGAGACGAACCTCGCCGCTCTTTCAGTACTCGATATGACGTAATGTACTAGTCAATATTCTTTTGTCCGCATACAGAAAGGGGAAACAATCGAAGTATTTCGAAACCGGAGTTACCTAACTTGGTATTAAAAAAAATCTTCCATTATCAACATTTAATAGTTTTCTACTTTGTAAATGTCTCCAACATACAAAAATGAGCAACATCCGAAGGAAGTTAATTAGAATTTATTAACCTGGTCTGACTTATTTTAATTAGAGAACCACGTGATTAACCTGACCCCAGTGTGAGTGCACCCCCTGGGTAGGCGCTAAAAATAGATTGACCTGCTTCCCCTACTGTACCGGAAGTAGATGTGACGCCCTGCTGTAAAGTAGAGTTGACCAACACCGACTCCCAGGAACTTGAAGTAAATGGACTGGAAGGATCACGTGACGTTCTGAGTGGAACTAGGTCATGGAAACATTATACATTAGCTCGACCGGATGGTATAATTTCTAAAACGATGGTGTAATAACAAAAATGTAGTCTTCAGTTTTTTAAAACCTGGTCAAGCTACGATACGTTGATTGATTTGGCTTTATATCTAATGTTCCAGTTAATTAAATTATCTCACCATTTCTCATCAAAGAAAACGACTAAATGATGTTTTAAAAACGTAGACAGATGTCTAGAGAGTTCTGTCTGGAATTGCCAGGGTTTGGGTCAGTGTGTGAACCACTTCTGAACAATAGGGCTGATAAGTAGGTCACCAACCAGTTCTATGGCTCATGCAGGTTTTATTGAGCCGTAGAACTGGTTGGTGACCTACTTACCAGCCCTATTACCACCTTTAGGCAAATATCATTTCTATACAAACACCACTTTTGTACAAGCACCACTTTTGTACAGTTACCACTTATATACAAATACCACTTCTGTACAAATACCACTTCTTTATAATCACCACTATTGTACAAATACTACTTTTGTACCAATACCTCTTATGTTCTAATGCCACTTATGCATACATACCATTTCCACATAACCGCCACTTTTGTAGACTTAAGTTATCCAGAGCGATTTGAGCATTGCATTCACAGCAATTGTCGCACTATGCTTTGTAGCGACGTTGCAAACTTTATTTTACTTCAACTCTACTTCATCCCCTGAATATAATATCCCAGGTTGTTCTTGGTTATGCTGCCGATGACCATACACGTTATTTATAGACTCAGGTTGTGAATACTGAATTGACAACGTTACGAATGCTAAACGTATTCGAAAATATTCCGATTTTAACATTTTAACAATGTGCAGCATTGATTGTTGTTGTTAAATTATTATTATTGTTATTATTGTGGGCTTTTTTTTTTGTAAAAACGAAAACCTAATCAATTCTGGTCTGAAAAAGATTTTCTTTTAAATTTGATGTTGTTGTTTTTTCAGCCCCTCACGCCAACCTGTCCTTGACCCGAAACAACGAGGTCATCTTGCTGAAGTCACTGGACCGTGAAGTCGATGACAAGCTGAGCGTGAATGTCACGTGTCATGTGGACACCGGAAGTGACGTGCACCACGTGCAGAGGGTGCTGCGCGTGAAGGTGTATGACGTCAACGACTGCCCTGTCACGAGCATGGGGTCCACCACCATAGACATCAGCGTCGCCACCAAGGTGAGCGGGGGTTGACAGTGTCGTGTCACTGACAGTGTCATATCACTGACAGACGACATGATTAATATATCGTCTGTGAGTAGTGTCATTGATATGCTACTGACCACAACATGATGTTACTGGACAGTGAGTTACTGAGTTACTGCTATGGTACTTGAGAGTTTGTCTTTGTCGTGTCAGTTACAGTTTGTCGCTGTTTTTTTTTACTGATCAGTGTGTCACTGTAAATGTCCAATATGTCCAATATGTCACTGACCAATGTGTTACAGTTGTGTCAATGTCCAATATGTCACTGTGATTTTCATGATCACTGTGTCCATGTTATGTCAGTGTCCAATATGTCACTGACCTTTCACTGACCAATGTGTCCCTGTTATGTCAGTGACCAATGTGTCCATGTTACGTCAGTGTCCAATAGGTCACTGACCTTTCACTGACCAATGTGTCACTGCTATGTCACTGACCAATGTGTCCATGTTACGTCAGTGTCCAATAGGTCACTGACCTTTCACTGACCAATGTGTCACTGCTATGTCACTGACCAATGTGTCCATGTTACGTCAGTGTCCAATAGGTCACTGACCTTTCACTGACCAATGTGTCCCTGTTACGTCAGTGTCCAATATGTCACTGACCTTTCACTGACCAATAAGACAGGCCAATGTCAAGAAGGTCATCTTCCTAACCGAAATACACTAAAAATAATATTTTTCAAATTTCGCCAAACTTGACCCAGACATTGCTAGATCGATATTTGAACCGTCTAGAATCGATTGATTAAAAACTTGACGAAACATATGAAGCAACAGCTGTCGTTAATTAGTAAAATGTTTTTCACTAATTAAGAACAATAAAGCGGATTATTAAATTAAAAAAAAAAACTATTTAATTTAGTTCGACTAACTCCATTACTGAGATTTGGTTTGGAACAAGAAATTAAAACACAAAATTTGCGAGAAAATTTATAATTTTATGGAGTATGGGCCGCCAACTACAGCAGAGTTCTCTGTCCTGCTGGAGTATGGGCCACCAACTACAGCTCTATAGAATTCTCTGTCCTGCTGGAGTATGGGCCACCAACTACAGATCTCCAGAGTTCTCTGTCCTGCTGGAGTATGGGCCGAGAACTAGAGCTTTCCATAGTTCTCTGTCCTGCTGGGGTATGGGCCGCCAACTACAGCTCTCCCGAATTGAGAGTATTGCCGCAAACTACCATTTAATGCCGTATTACAGGCCGCATTAACCCGTTATCTACCAATATTATCGATTTCTTTATTTAATAAATTTTTCTATGAAAAATTTTAATCCCCCTAAGTATGTTTACCATATTTTTTACGTGTATTATTCAAGTGCATTAAACTGCTTCGCTAATGAATGATAAATTAAAAATATCTCAACCCCCCAGGCGTAGAATAATTAATCCCCCATCTAAACGACATTTTCCTAGATTTAAACTTTTTCATCCATCGCATTCATCCCCTACGTGAGCGACGGATGAATATTTCATCCTTGGACCAAATAATTAATCACGTCACCGACTGTTTGTAAGCGTGGTTGTCGGGGTTGTCCCAATGAAATACGACAACCCTCGGGGGCTCTCAGGGGTTGTCCATTGAGAAACCATCGAACTGACCGACCGTAGTTTCAAAAAGAGGAATTTCAAATCACCGTTTACATTTTGACGGTAATTATTTCTTACAAAAATTGGTTTTATGAAAAGATATAAACTAAAATTTGAGCGGTTAAAAGGGAAAGAACTTAGTGCTATTAACGAATAGATCGCCACATTGCCTCACATCATGGGAGACCAAACATAAACGTGTTCATGGAGTGTTCGAAATTCTGTTATAAACTATCGAAAATATGTGTGTAATGATTGCATGGATAAAAAGTTAAAATACATAACCTAGGATGAATATGGCAGATGATGAGTAGTTGACATGTGCCTACAACTTGGGCATATAAAGATAGTGTGGTCAGTTCTATGCCCGTTGTCTTTATTTTTTTACCTGAATTCAGTCAGGTACCCATAAGAGCTGAATTAACCACACCCAACCTGCAATAACCACACACAGTCAACATTAACCACAACCTACCTTACCTACACCGATATATATATATATAAATATAAATAAATAAATAAATGAATAAATAAATAAATAAATAAATAAATAAATATATATATATATATATATATATATATATATATATATATATATATATATATATATATATATATTAGATTTTAAATTACTTATCGAAATAAACAAAGACTAGTCAATCTTTCTTTGGACCAGAAACGTTCAAAAGGGACAATTACAATGAACTTGAATTATCGAACTTTGAAATTCACCCAAACTAAAAAAACAGAATAAAACTAATTCAAATTTTAAGGTTTCAGAATCAGCAGGGGGAGAATTTTCCAGAATTTTAATAACCTTTTTATATAATTTAAACGGAAAATGTGAATATTGATTTAACAAAGACAGATGGGACTAGTGGATAAATTAATTTCTCCATCATCAAAAGAATCGTGCTTAGACCGACTTTTTTCGACATCGGAAATTTAGAGACAAAAATAATTTAAAAAACACGTTGTTTTAAAGAAAATGAAAGTACTCTACGCAGTATAATTCAATGTCTAAACAAAATTAAATCTGCCCCGAGTGTCTTAGACTAGACCGAGAACACATCATGATGATAATAATAATAATTACGACCATGCTGTAACAAGCTACTATAACATAGATCACACAACGCATGTCTTTTACATGCATACAGTCAACGTACCTTCTCGAACAATCTAACCAAACATTGTCATATGTTTTCTAGAACAATCTAACTAAATAATGTCATATGTTTTCTAGAACAATCTAACCAAAAAATGTCATATGTTTTCTAGAATAATCTAACCAAATAATGTCATATGTTTTCTAGAATAATCTAACCAAATAATGTCATATGTCTTCTAGAACAATCTAACCAAATAATGTCATATGTTTTCTAGAATAATCTAACCAAATAATGTCATATGTTTTCTAGAATAATCTAACCAAATAATGTCATATGTTTTCTAGAATAATCTAACCAAATAATGTCATATGTTTTCTAGAATAATCTAACCAAATAATGTCATATGTTTTCTAGAACAATCTAACCAAACAATGTCATATGTTTTCTAGAACAATCTAACCAAACATTGTCATATGTTTTCTAGAACAATCTAACCAAATAATGTCATATGTCCCTATCCTATTCCCCAAACTAAGACAAAAAAAAATCCACAAAGTTTTACCTAATTTGTCTAATTTAACTCCACAAGCCCACAATCCAAATGAAGCGCCTCTATTGTTACAAATATTAGATGTTTACGCAGTTATTTCTCCAGCACAAATGTAACTATTGCTACAACTTTTCTGTTCGCCCATTTATCCAGCTAGCTTCAACACAACTTTTCTGTTCGCCCATTTATCCTTCTAGCTTCAACACAACTTTTCTGTTCGCCCATTTATCCTTCTAGCTTCAACACAACTTTTCTGTTTATCAATTTATTCCAGCTAGCTTCAATGTAATTAAATTATGTTCTGTTTACTTAAAGATTAATCTATTAATGCCCCATCTAACTTTATTGATACACTCACGTCCCGTTTGCCTGGTGATTGATCTATCGATCACAAATCGATTGATCAGTAAACAAACAAACCGCGGGAAAACATTTCCGCCACTTCCGGCTACACGTCTGCTGATTAGTCCTGAAATCTATCAATCGCCGATAACCGACTCCTCGCGTCTGTGCATGATCTTATCGGACACAATTATCGATTAGACTGATTACCAATATATAACGGATCACTGAAAGCAAACGGCTGTTTAAAAAGTTTTTTAGAAACAAAAACAATCTACCATTATGAAGATTTTTTCAAAACGAGGCAGAATTTTCAGCCCATTTTCTGGCAACAATGGACACCAGCGAGAAAAGTCTCAAAGGTATTTGAGAGGTGTATAAATTCATTAAAAAATCATGCACAGCGTATTTACAATTAATATGGTTATAAAATCCTGCCTGTCTGGTTTTTTTCGGACTTTACTAAAGATTGGATGTATTTGATGTTTATAATATTTTCGGTAACTAAATAAAAATTAAAAAAAAAGCAAAAACAATTTGGTTTTCACGTGTAATGGCGACATAAACATGGCATCCTGCTATTGGATAGGCTGCCATAGATTTTATTGTACACATTGTAAGCTAAAAATAGAAAACTAGGTCATGGGGTTTTAAATTTGCATTGTAATTTAAAAACTTGATCTGCAAAGTTTTGTAAACAAATAGTTATCGATTACTAAGTTACTGTACAGCCAATCAATATTTGTCTTACGAAAGTGAAACATCCGGTTATAACTTAGGCTTGATGAAAATAAATAGAAATGTAGCCTTAAACTCAACAAATTATTTTCAAGTTCTCTGGATTTGCAACTTTTATAGCATTTATTCTAAGAATATAAAATTTCTAAATTAATTTTAGGCTTAAGTTTTTATTTTTTATTTTTTTTTTACGGTCTAAATCTAAAAAGCACGTTTTTATTCCATGACAACAACATTATGGAAGGAATCTCGTCAACTCGCTCGCCTCCATTACCGGAAATAAAAAAAAAAATCGGAACACGAATTATCGTGTAGGTGCGGCATAAATTCTTGCTGGTTCTAGAACCTTCAATAGTTCTATCCAGTACAGCACGCGATGTGTGATACTATACCTAGAGATGAGTTTAAACGTATCACGCTATTTAGTCCTGGGTTATGCTTTCCTAAGGAAAATAATAAAAAGGGAAAACATAAACGTTGAGATCCAAGTCAAAGACAAGTGAAGTAGAGTTATGTTAATGTAATATGTGTGTGAAAAACATTGGGCAGATCCTCCTGAATACTCAACAGTTCGAATGTTCTGAAACCACTTTTTTTTAAAAATGAGGTTTGAAGAGACTTTCAATTTTTTTTTTGTGTTGAAAAGTCACTCTTAACAAGCCATACAAAATAATTTGCCGAACGGAAGCTAAAAAAATATTTCTTGGACAAATCTTCTCCTATACTACCCCCCCCCCCCCCCCCCACACACACACACACTCAAAGTTTTGACTGAAGAGGCGAAGAGCCGACGTTTCAACGGCTTTGCCCTTGACCTCAAACCTCACAACGGAAGTAGCGTAAAACCTCGGCCGTTTGAGTAGCGTGTGTTAAAAATAGATCCCGGATGACGTGTTAAAACTTAAGAAACGTCAGATTTCATACAGATCTAGATCGGCTGCAGATGTATATCATATATGTCAAGATGTATAAATAGATAGGGTACATGGTCGGTGGGACATCACATCCACAGTACGACTCGAAAAAGGATCATCAATTCTCAGATGCTCTTAATTTCACAAAATCGAAAGATGAGCAATTTTCTCGCACGTGCGTCAAGCCCCCATCCCCCCTCCCTGTCATACAGCCCTACCCTCAGTCCCATCCTCAACCATATCCTGAGCCCCACCCTCAGCCCCACCCTCAGAACTATCCTAAGCCCAACCCTCATCCCTATCCTGAGCCCCACCCGTCAGCCCCACCCCAGACCCACCCTTAGCCCCCATCCTCAGCCCCACCCTCAGCCCTATCCCCAGCCCCACTCTAATCCCTATCCTCATCCTCGTTATAACTCACCTCCCAGCCCCTTCAGCGTATGTACCTACACACCATCCTGCCCATCTTCAGACATACAGCAACATTCAACACACACATTCACACAGCAACATCAACCCGCACAACATTTACCACACAACATTATCCACCACACAACATTATCCACCACACAACATTCACCACACAACATTATCCACCACACAACATTCACCACACAATATTATCCACCACATAACATCAACCCACACAACATTATCCACCACACAACATTCACCACACAACATTATCCACCACACAACATTATCCACCACATAACATTATCCACCACACAACATTATCCACCACATAACATTATCCACCACACAACATTCACCACACAACATTATCCACCACACAACATTATCCACCACATAACATTATCCACCACATAACATCAACCCACACAACATTCACCACACAACATTATCCACACAACATTCACCACACAACATTATCCACCACATAACATTCACCACACAACATTCACCACACAACATTCACCACACAACATTCACCACACAACATTATCCACCACACAACATTCACCACACAACATTCACCACACAACATCCACCACACAACATTCACCACACAACATTATCCACCACATAACATTCACCACACAACATTCACCACACAACATTCACCACACAACATTCACCACACAACATTATCCACCACACAACATTCACCACACAACATTCACCACACAACATTCACCACACAACATTCACCACACAACATTATCCACCACATAACATTCACCACACAACATTCACCACACAACATTCACCACACAACATTCACCACACAACATTCACCACACAACATTCACCACACAACATTCACCACACAACATTCACCACACAACATCAACACACACAACATTCACCACACAACATTATCCACCACACAACATTCACCACATAACATTATCCACCACACAACATTCACCACACAACATTCACCACACAACATTCACCACACAACATTCACCACACAACATTATCCACCACACAACATTCACCACACAACATTCACCACACAACATTCACCACACAACATTCACCACACAACATTCACCACACAACATTCACCACACAACATTCACCACACAACATTCACCACACAACATCAACACACACAACATTCACCACACAACATTCACCACACAACATTCACCACACAACATTCACCACACAACATTCACCACACAACATTATCCACCACACAACATTCACCACACAACATTATCCACCACACAACATTCACCACACAACATTATCCACCACACAACATTCACCACACAACATTCACCACACAACATTCACCACACAACATTCACCACACAACATTCACCACACAACATTCACCACACAACATTCACCACACAACATTCACCACACAACATCAACACACACAACATTCACCACACAACATTCACCACACAACATTCACCACACAACATTCACCACACAACATTCACCACACAACATTATCCACCACACAACATTCACCACACAACATTATCCACCACACAACATTCACCACACAACATTCACCACACAACATTCACCACACAACATTCACCACACAACATTCACCACACAACATTCACCACACAACATTCACCACACAACATTATCCACACAACATTATCCACCACACAACATTCACCACACAACATTCACCACAAAACATTCACCACACAACATTATCCACCACACAACATTCACCACACAACATTATCCACCACACAACATTCACCACACAACATTCACCACACAACATTCACCACACAACATTCACCACACAACATTATCCACCACACAACATTCACCACACAACATTCACCACACAACATTCACCACACAACATTCACCACACAACATTCACCACACAACATTCACCACACAACATTCACCACACAACATTCACCACACAACATCAACACACACAACATTCACCACACAACATTCACCACACAACATTCACCACACAACATTCACCACACAACATTCACCACACAACATTATCCACCACACAACATTCACCACACAACATTATCCACCACACAACATTCACCACACAACATTCACCACACAACATTCACCACACAACATTCACCACACAACATTCACCACACAACATTATCCACCACACAACATTCACCACACAACATCAACACACACAACATTCACCACACAACATTATCCACCACACAACATTCACCACACAACATTATCCACCACACAACATTCACCACACAACATTCACCACACAACATTCACCACACAACATCCACCACACAACATCCACCACACAACATTCACCACACAACATTATCCACCACACAACATTCACCACACAACATTATCCACCACACAACATTCACCACACAACATTCACCACACAACATTCACCACACAACATCAACACACACAACATTCACCACACAACATTATCCACCACATAACATCAACCCATATAACCCCCACCCTATACAACAACATCCACCCAACTCCCTAAAATCACCGCAACAAGACTATTCTAACCTCCATGTCCCCACATAAAATAGACCCCTCCATTATATCAAATATCCTGTACAAACTAATCTCCGTGAAACCACAAACACATCATATAATGCTAGTTCCTAATATTTCAGAGAGGCGCGTCCTCGAAAAAAAAAACGCTAGGAAACGCGCAAACAGAGAATACTTTTTTTTTCCTGCTAGGCTATCATCGTTCTCAAGCGATGAAAGCGGAAATATTAAATTAAAAACTCTTAACGTTAAAATAACAGCTCATAAGCTTTCACCTAATGAGATTTAATTTAATTAATAAATGTTTTTTTTTTTAATTTTTTAAATTTTATTTTTGGCTGTCTAAATAATATTTCATGAAATTATTATAATGCAAAACAGCCTGTTTTAGTTTCCCATATGCTTTGGGTACAGCCTACTTGCGTGAGTCAGCATCTCTGTCTCCAAGCATCCCCCTGCATTCCCAAAACAGAAACTAATTTGCGAATGGGTCACACCCGTCCAGCAGTATCAAACCCGCCGCCATGTTTGCGCCATGTCCACCCCTGCTCCGAGATTGCCGCCGTGTTTTTATGTGGAGGGGTGTACAAACAGCAGACACGTGACTCCCGTCAGCACCAGGCCGGGTCGTATTGTCACGTGATGACCGTATAACCCTAGTGAGTCTTGTGAAAACAAATAATTTTCTTTGAGTATTGTGTGCACGGCGAAATTTTTGTTTGAGTCATAAGCATTAGCACCAGGGAACATTTCATTTTCATCGGGCAACATTTCATTTAACATTAGCACCAGGGAACATTTCATTTAGCACCAGGGAACATTTCATTTAGCATCAGGGAACATTTCATTTAGCATTAGCACCAGGAAACATTTCATTTAGCACCAGGGAACATTTCATTTAGCATCAGGGAACATTTCATTTAGCATTAGTATCAGGGAACATTTCATTTAGCATTAGTATCCGGGAACATTTCGTTTTCATCAGGAACAAGGAAAATCCCATTATGCATTAACAAAAGGGAACATTCCATTTAGCACCAACACCAGTAAACGTCCTATTAAGTACAGCGCAAGGGAACATCCCATTTAGCAATACCAAAAGGGAACATCCCATTTAGCACCATCACCAGGGAATATTTCATTTAGCACCAGCACCAGGGAACATCCCATTTAGCATTAGCACCAGGGAACATATTTGTTGTTGACAAGACCTGTTCTATGGGTGTTCGGATTTAGGAAGAATGGGAACAGTGTTCGGCGTAGGCAAAATTAGGTCTATGTGTTCGGTGTAGGCAAAACTAGGTCTATGTGTTCGGCGTAGGCAAAATTAGGTCTATGTGTTCGGTGTAGGCAAAACTAGGTCTATGTGTATGGTGTAGGCAAACTAGGTCTATGTGTTCGGCGTAGGAATAACTAGGTATATGTGTTCGGTGTAGGCAAAACTAGGTCTATGGGATTGGGACCAATAGAGGGGCCATCACTGGTTGTTGTTGGTTTTTTTTATAATTTTCCAACTATAAAATTATCTGTTAAAAACAATGTTAATCCAATATACTAAGCAAGGATAATCCTAGCTACTAGAGTGTACGACAGAAGATAACTCAGGAGTCTAGAGTATAACTTTGGTTCAAATCAAACTTTATCAATTACGAATCTTTTACTCCACCAGTATTACAAAACTCTTATGGATGCGGATACGGAAGTGGTCAACCTCAAGTCGTACTCCGTGTCTACCAGCGACACGGCGGGCGTCGTGGTGCCACTAAATATCACCACCAAGGCACTGAAGATTGCCAAAAAAACACTACAGACGAGCATCAAGTTAGGCAAGTCATCCCCCTCCGTTGCGCCAAATTGTTCTTACTCCAAAAGTGACATAACCTCGTATCTAAGCCATGAAGCATTTCTTAGAGAAAAGAAATACGTTTCTTTAATGAGCATTTGACTTAGTGAAGACACAGTGAGTTTGCTCCACCTGTCACTAAATATAAAAAAAAAGTTACAGGACGACGAAACTTCAAAGCCATGTATTTAGAAAACCTAAACAAAAGATGGAGTTTGAACAGTCTGGTTCTAGCGAAGTGATACACACACACACACACGCACACACACACACACACACACACACATATATTGATGCATGCATATATATGCATACAAATATACATATATATATATATATATATATAATAAATAAATATATAGTAGACCTACATATGTATATATATATATATAATATAAATATATATGTATATATGATATAGCTTTAGTTTTTTTTAAATATTATTTAGAGTATAGTATTATACATCAAAGTGTGCCCAGCCCCTACACAGCAGATATAATTCTAGAGAATTTACACTACGACATTGATGGAGCTCTTGTCAAAAAGAAGGTACGTAATTTTGTTTTAAAAACTAAAAACATTCAGTTTCATAACAAAACTACTAACCTAAGAAATTTTGGCACATTTAGAAGTGGAAAAAAAATGTATTCACAAATAATGTATGAGCAGTCAATAAATGCTTTGAATTGAACAAAAATGCTCACTTTGAGCTGTATTTTACAGATTCTCAAACTCAAAATGGCGCTGACAAAAAAAAATTGCTGAAAAAGTCTTTTTTTTTTTACGGTGTTGTCTAACGGGAGGGGAGGCCACCCAATAACTCCATTTCCTAATCAGCTGACATGCGCGCCATAATTTATGAGAATCGTTGCCGTCTGGTCAGCAGATATCAAATATCGCTCCCGATCTGACCTAAAGCAGACTGCGTGTCACGGGGCGTCTCCTGAATATTCAATGCTCAAATCGAATGCCTTTTATCTCCGTCAATAATGTTTTTATTGAAACTGATTATTTTATGAGCTATGGGTGGAGCTGGTGTTACAATACCCCACACCTCTTACAACCATCTTTTTGTTGAAACAGAGGCGTAGCGATGGGGGGGGGGGGGGGGCAGGGGGGTACATATGTCCCCGGGTGCCGACCTTAGGGGGCGCCAAAATGGGTTGTAAAAACAAATTAAAATGTCATTTTAGCTTCATTTTTTCATTATAAATAGTTTGTATTGAAACAGCATGTTTAAATATCAAATGATTTTCTGACCACTCCTCCGCCTCTCCCCACACTCCCTGAACAGCCGAGTGGTGAAAAGGTTTGTGGGTAAAGTACCTCATCATATAAAACAAAGGGAGGGTGGGGTGGGGATTAGCAGGGTAAACTGTAAGATATCAAAGTACAAATTTCGTCACAGAGACTCTGCTCTTGGTGCATGGACATTCCCCCTATGTTGTGGCCTGTCTGTAGCAGAGGCGTAGCGACCCTTCCCGGCGCCCGGGGACAAACTTTTCGATTTGCACCCCCCCCTCAAGATTTTGATTTGCACCCCCCCCCCTCAAACTTTCGATTTGCACCCACCCCCCTTGAGATTTCCATTTGCACCCCCCTCCTCAAACTTTCGATTTGCACCCCCCTCAACCTTTCAATTTATTTTTCCAACCCATTTTGGCGCCCCCTAAGGTCGGCGCCCGGGGACATATGTCTCCCCCCCCCCCCTCTCGCTACGCTACTGGTCTGTAGTTCCTAACGGGAGCTGGACGTTTTCCCGAAAGTAACTTTTCCGAATGCCGTTTGCCCGAAGGCCTATTTCCCTTTCGACCTAGGTGAAACCAAAATGTTTAACTCGTATCATAGTAGGCAATCTCGGTGAAAGCTCATCTCATTCAAGTACATTTCTTTACCTCGTTCGAGTATATCTCTTTATCTCCTTCGAGAATATTTCTGTCCATATTTTGAACAAAGCCGTACCGGAAAATCACCGCGTGTAGAACGTTTTGGATGAACATCGTACGAAGTTGTACGAAAAAATAAAACTTGCATATTTGTTTCTATAAATACACGTAAAACAATGCAGTCTTTTTGCTTCATTAATTTATGCTTGTTAGAATGAATATTATAATTTATACCAACTGGCCACTACACTTACCGAAGTTACAATAACAAAAATGTTGAAAAATGTGTTAAAGATGTCTTATTTCTACGGTGTAACGTAGGTACGTTTCACGCTAACATACACATATGTTATTTGAACGTAGGTAAGTCTTACACTAACATACACATACGTTATTTGAACGTAGGTAAGTGTGACGCTAACATACACCTATGTTATTTGCACGTAGGTAAGTGTGACGCTAACATACACCTATGTTATTTGCACGTAGGAAAGTGTGACGCTAACATACACCTATGTTATTTGCACGTAGGTTACCTACAAGGTGATCTACACGACTGACTCGAAGCTTGAAGACAGGTTTCTGACCGACAGTACAAAGATGGAGCTTTACAAGTCGGCGGGGAAATATTCTTTGGTAACTTTATGTAGTAATTAACTCTTTAGATATTGGAGAACTGTAGTAACTAACTCTTTAGATATTGGAGAACTGTAGTAACTAACTCTTTAGATATTGGAGAACTGTAGTAACTAACTCTTTAGATATTGGAGAACTGTAGTAACTAACTCTTTAGATATTGGAGAACTGTAGTAACTAACGCTTTAGATATTGGAGAACTGTAGTAACTAACTCTTTAGATATTGGAGAACTGTAGTAACTAACTCTTTAGATATTGGAGAACTGTAGTAACTAACTCTTTAGATATTGGAGAACTGTAGTTACTAACACTTTAGATATTGGAGAACTGTAGTAACTAACTCTTTAAGTACTGGGAAACTGTAGTAATTAACTATATAGCTAGTTCCTGGCGAACTATAGTTGTAGTAATTAACTCTTTAGATACTGTGAAACTATATCAATTAACTATATAGCTAGTTCCTGGCGAACTATAGTTGTTATCTCTTTAATTACTCGGAAATTGTAGTATTTAACTTTTTAGTTTGCTACTTAATAATGATAGTAATTATTATGTAGTTAGTTGTTGTTGTTTTTTTGGGGGGGTGGGGGAGCTGTAGTAATTAACTCTTTAGTTATTCATTGAGGAAATGTAGCAATTAACTTTTTAGCTAGCTATTCGGGAACAATAGTAATTAACACTGTAGTTAATTTATAGAAAGATGTTGTAATGAACTCTTACGTAAGTTGTATGTGAATGAGTTCACCGAATTCTGTGCTTATGTAACTTATACTTTACTAACACAACCCTCGTATGTTGTCTAGATTTTGGACTTGGCACAGAACACAAGTAAGATAAATAAAGACGTCAATTATACGATCAAGATCAGTCGGCCTCAACAACTTCAGTCAGTGCTGGCAGTCAATCAACTTGGCCAGGTGTATGTCAGCGATACTAGGTATCTCATCAGGTAAATCTTTGACCTTTTGCACACGTGGTTTTTGTACTTGTGTGCTTTATACATATGTTTGTGTGTTTTGTACAACTGTGTTTTGTACATGTGTGTTTTGTACACGTGTGTTTTGTACAAAATGTGTTTTGTACAAATGTGTTTTGTACATGTGTGTTTTGTACATGTGTGTTTTGTACATGTGTGTTTTGTACACCTGTATTTTGTACATGTGTGTTTTGTACATGTGTGTTTTTTACACCTGTATTTTGTACATGTGTATTTGGTACACGTGTGTTTTGTACAAATGTGTTTTGTACATGTGTGTTTTGTAAATGTGTGTTTTGTACATGTGTGTTTTGTACACCTGTGTTTTGTACATGTGTGTTTTGTACAAATGGGTTTTGTACAAATGTGTTTTGTACACGTGTGTTTTGTACACTTGGGATTTATACAGATGTTTGTGTGTTTTGTACATGTGTGTTTTAAACATTTATTGGTGTGTGTTTTGCATAGATGTATTTTATGCTAATATGCTTTATACAGGTGTGTTTATACAGGTGTTATCTACATACAGGTGTGTTTGTACAGGAGGTGGTGTGTTTTGTACCGGTGTTTTCGTACAGGTGTTTTGTACAGGTGTTTTTGACAGTTGTGTTTTGTAGAAAAAGTATAAACATCAAACCAAATGGAATCGTATTGTTGAGCGGTAAAGCACCTAAAGGCTAGAGCTGAGTTCCCGAGTTCAAGTCCATTTTTCTGTCATCGAGTGGGGAGAGTAAAAGGGTCTAAACAATATATGCCCTGAACTCTTGTTTGGTTTTACATCAAAGATGTAAAATTAGACAACCATTTTGATACGATGTTTTACTAGGGCAGTTAAGGTATTTCACTGAATTTCGCTTATAAATGGATATTGTGGTCAGGTATATGCCCAGCCACTTTTACTTTCTCCAACTAAAGTCAGATACTCATTAGAGCTGAGTTAACTCGAGCGTATACACTGAACTCGAGACTCACGGGTAAGTAGTCTGGCGCTCTACCGCCCTACCACGCGTGTGATATTTTGTGGTATCGTACACTAAACCTCCCAACGAGCCAGTAATGTTCCCATCATTTGTCTCAGCTACAGAATCTCTAATCGTCTCTGTAATGTTTCCATCATTTGTCTCTGTAATGTTTCCATCATTTGTCTCTGTAATGTTTCCATCATTTGTCTCAGCTACAACGGTACAGAAGCTCTAATCGTCTCTGTAATGTTTCCATCATTTGTCTCTGTAATGTATCCATCATTTGTCTCAGCTACAACGGTACAGAAGCTCTAATCGTCTCTGTAATGTTTCCATCATTTGTCTCTGTAATGTATCCATCATTTGTCTCAGCTACAACGGTACAGAAGCTCTAATCGCCTCAGTAATGTTTCCATCATTTGTCTCAGTTACAACGGTACAGAAGCTCTAATCGCCTCAGTAATGTTTCCATCATTTGTCTCAGCTACAGAAGCTCTAATCGCCTCTGAAATGTTTCCATCATTTGTCTCAGTTACAACGGTACAGAAGCGCTAACCGTCTCTGTAATGTTTCCATCATTTGTCTCAGTTACAACGGTACAGAAGCTCTAATCGCCTCTGTAATGTTTCCATCATTTGTCTCTGTAATGTATCCATCATTTGTCTCAGCTACAACGGTACAGAAGCTCTAATCGCCTCAGTAATGTTTCCATCATTTGTCTCAGCTACAACGGTACAGAAGCTCTAATCGCCTCAGTAATGTTTCCATCATTTGTCTCAGTTACAACGGTACAGAAGCTCTAATCGCCTCAGTAATGTTTCCATCATTTGTCTCAGCTACAACGGTACAGAAGCTCTAATCGTCTCTGTAATGTTTCCATCATTTGTCTCTGTAATGTATCCATCATTTGTCTCAGCTACAACGGTACAGAAGCTCTAATCGCCTCAGTAATGTTTCCATCATTTGTCTCAGCTACAACGGTACAGAAGCTCTAATCGTCTCTGTAATGTTTCCATCATTTGTCTCAGTTACAACGGTACAGAAGCTCTAATCGTCTCAGTAATGTTTCCATCATTTGTCTCAGTTACAACGGTACAGAAGCTCTAATCGTCTCTGTAATGTTTCCATCATTTGTCTCTGTAATGTTTCCATCATTTGTCTCAGCTACAACGGTACAGAAGCTCTAATCGCCTCAGTAATGTTTCCATCATTTGTCTCTGTAATGTATCCATCATTTGTCTCAGCTACAACGGTACAGAAGCTCTAATCGTCTCAGTAATGTTTCCATCATTTGTCTCAGTTACAACGGTACAGAAGCTCTAATCGCCTCAGTAATGTTTCCATCATTTGTCTCAGCTACAGAAGCTCTAATCGCCTCTGAAATGTTTCCATCATTTGTCTCAGTTACAACGGTACAGAAGCGCTAACCGTCTCTGTAATGTTTCCATCATTTGTCTCAGCTACAACGGTACAGAAGCTCTAATCGCCTCAGTAATGTTTCCATCATTTGTCTCTGTAATGTTTCCATCATTTATCTCAGTTACAACGGTACAGAAGCTCTAATCGCCTCAGTGCTCAAGTACGAGAAGGAGAAGCTGGTGAACAAGACGGATATCCATCTGAAGATCACAGAGATCAATGACGCACAGGAATGTGGTAAGTTCTTGTACCTGGTTCCAGATATCGAAGGAAATGAGACTTCAAATTTTATAGCAGAAACTTTAAACTTGTTTTGTTAGCTATCTGAATCCAGTTAGTCATGAAATCATCCTTAGTTATGGCAGAAACTATCAACTCTTGTTTATATACCTGAATTCAGATAAATAACAAAACTAGACTTACTTCATTTTTTCCAGCAGAAACTTTAAACTTTTTGGTATCTGACTTAAGATATCTAATGAAATGATATTTAGTTCAATTTTTCTAGCAGAAAATTTAAGCTGTCTTTCAAAATGAACAACAGTTTGATTCTTTAAAAAATGATTTCACTAAAAATCTAAACAAAATACTTACTGTAGATGTCGCGATGTCTAACGAGGTATCAGGTTGGAGACGCATCTTAGCTTTGGTGACCTAATTCTACGGACTTTTTATTGTATTTAGTGACCTAATTCTGGAGACTTTTTTCTTGTATGGGTGACCGAATTCTAGATAGGTGTCAATACAATTGATCTTATTTTTATTTTAACTAAACAATATGAAAAATAAAGGAATAACATTAAGCTCAAATGCCAAATTATTCCAATAACAAAATGTGCTGATTTGAAACCTACTTTTTAATACAAATGTCAATGTAGTTGTCGAACCAGTGACGTGGGATGCAACACGTCTACTGCTTCATCTTTTCATATTTAAAAAAAAAAACAGTGACGAAATCAGATCCAAGTGCGTCGCCACCATACGAGGTTTGAAATCGCTTCCCGCAATGATGTACGCATTCAGTGTTTCTTCCAGACTTTTTTCTCCGGGGGGGGGGCACTTGAAATCTTCGGGGGGGGGGCGGTAAACTTTTTCCGGGTTGGCGGACACTGTTAAAAGTATATATTTTCTATATAAATTATATAAATTTCATTTCGTTCGGGGGGGGCGGTAAAAATTTTTCGGGGGGGCTTCGCCCCCCCCCCCCCCCCGAAGAGATGCCTGGAAGAAACTCTGTACGCATTGAACACAAAATAAGGGGGGGGGGGGAAATGCACAGTCATCATTACCTGATGATGCCCATTCCCCATGAGGCAACTTCATTTAACATTCCTACAAATGGCCCATGTAGCCCTGAGCCTGTAGGTACACACCGCCCGTGTCCCTAACATTTAATAGCTTAATTAATGACTTCAGTGGTTAATTGCAATAATGGACCAGTGTCAATTATATCATTTTAATCAGTCTTTTTTCGTACCAGATACTAATACAAGGTGTGTTCTATATTCAAATTGTGCCAGATAAATTGATACAGATTGTGCCAGATAAAATGATACATAGTGTGCCAGATAAAATGATACGATCTGTGCCTGATAAAGTGATACAGAGTGTGCCAGATAAAAATGATACAAAGTGTGCCAGATAAAACGATACAAAGTGTGCCATATAAAATGATAAAAATCGTGCCAGATAAAATGATACAAATCGTGCCAGATAAAATGATACAAATTGTGCCAGATAAAATGATACAAATTGTGCCAGATAAAATAATACAAATTGTGTTCAGATTAAAATAAACAATCTGTGTGTTCTGTATACAAATTGTATCAGATAAAATGATACAAATTGTGCCAGGTAAAATGATACAAAGTATGCCAGATAAAAACACAACATTTTTCCTGTACTCAACAGACCAAGGCTGTTCCCTCCACAAGTCACGTGACGAGTGTACCTCCTCGTGTGGGTTCGGGGCCGTGACGGGCAGGTGTGTGTGGCGGGAGGCAAACAGAACGACCATGACCCCGGACTATGAGACGTGCTCACCCAGCCTGGACACGTGCCCGGATGGGATCTGTAGCCCGCTGGAAGAATTGGAGTTTTTTTACTGCCCACAGGACTGTCTCAAAGGTAGGTGTCTATTGTATTGAGGGTAGGTGTCTATTGTATTGAGGGTAGGTGTCTATTGTATTGAGGGTAGGTGTCTATTGTATTGAGGGTAGGCGTCCATGGTATTAAAGGTGGGTGTTCATTGTATTTAAGGTAGGTGTCCATTGTATCAAAGGTAGGTGTCTATTGTAAGGTAGGTGTCTATTGTATTAAAGGTAGGTGTCCATTGTATTAAAGGTAGGCGTCCATTGTATTAAAGGTAGGTGTCCATTGTATTAAAGGTAGGCGTCAATTGTAAGGTAGGTGTCCATTGTAAGGTAGGTGTCCATTGTAAGGTAGGTGTCCATTGTATTAAAGGTAGGTGTCCATTGTATTAAAGGTAGGTGTCCATTGTATTAAAGGTAGGTGTCCATTGTATTAAAGGTAGGTGTCCATTGTATTAAAGGTAGGTGTCCATTGTATTAAAGGTAGGTGTCCATTGTATTAAAGGTAGGTGTCCATTGTAAGGTAGGTGTCCATTGTATTAAAGGTAGGTGTCCATTGTATTAAAGGTAGGTGTCCATTGTATTAAAGGTAGGTGCCCATTGTATTAAAGGTAGGTGTCCATTGTATTAAAGGTAGGTGTCCATTGTATTAAAGGTAGGTGTACATTGTATTAAAGGTAGGTGTCCATTGTATTAAAGGTAGGTGTCCATTGTATTAAAGGTAGGTGTCCATTGTATTAAAGGTAGGTGTCCATTGTATTAAAGGTAGGTGTCCATTTTAAGGTAGGTGTCTATTGTATTAAACGTAGGTGTCCATTGTATTAAAGGTAGGTGTCCATTGTATTAAAGGTAGGTGTCCATTGTATTAAAGGTAGGTGTACATTGTATTAAAGGTAGGTGTCCATTGTATTAAAGGTAGGTGTCCATTGTATTAAAGGTGGGTGTCCATTGTATTAAAAGTAGGTGTCCATTGTATCAAAGGTAGGTGTCCATTGTATTAAAGGTAGGTGTCCATTGTATTAAAGGTAGGTGTCCATTGTTTTCAAAGTATGAGTCCATTGTATTAAAGGTAGGTGTCCATTGTATTAAAGGTAGGTGTCCATTGTATTAAAGGTAGGTGTCCATTATATTTAAGGTAGGTGTACATTGTATTAAAGGTAGGTGTCCATTGTATTAAAGGTAGGTGTCCATTGTATTAAAGGTAGGTGTCCATTGTATTAAAGGTAGGTGTCCATTGTATTAAAGGTAGGTGTCCATTGTATTAAAGGTAGGTGTCCATTGTATTAAAGGTAGGTGTCCATTGTATCAAAGGTAGGTGTCCATTGTATTAAAGGTAGGTGTCCATTGTATTAAAGGTAGGTGTCCATTGTATTTAAGGTAGGTGTCCATTGTATTAAAGGTAGGTGTCCATTGTATTAAAGGTAGGTGTCCATTGTATTCAAGGTAGGTGTACATTGTATTAAAGGTAGGTGTACATTGTATTAAAGGTAGGTGTCCATTGTATTAAAGGTAGGTGTCCATTGTATTAAAGGTAGGTGTCCATTGTATTAAAGGTAGGTGTCCATTGTATTAAAGGTAGGTGTCCATTGTATTAAAGGTAGGTGTCCATTGTATTAAAGGTAGGTGTCCATTGTATTAAAGGTAGGTGTCCATTGTATTAAAGGTAGGTGTCCATTGTATCAAAGGTAGGTGTCCATTGTATTAAAGGTAGGTGTACATTGTATTAAAGGTGGGTGTCCATTGTATTAAAGGTAGGTGTACATTGTATTAAAGGTTGGTGTCCATTGTATTAAAGGTAGGTGTACATTGTTTTCAAGGTATAAGTCCATTGTATTAAAGGTAGGTGTCCATTGTATTATAGGTAGGTGTCCATTGTATTAAAGGTAGGTGTCCATTGTATTAAAGGTAGGTGTCCATTGTAAGGTAGGTGCCCATTGTATTAAAGGTAGGTGTCCATTGTATTAAAGGTAGGTATCCATTGTAAGGTATGTGTCCATTGTATTAAAGGTAGGTGTCCATGGTATTAAAGGTAGGTGTTCATTGTATTAATTGTAGGTGTCCATTGTATTAAAGGTAGGTGTCCATTGTATTAAAGGTAGGTGTCCATTGTATTAAAGATAGGTGTCCATTGTATTAAAGGTAGGTGTCCATTGTATTAAAGGTAGGTGTCCATTGTATTAAAGGTAGGTATCCATTGTAAGGTATGTGTCCATTGTATTAAAGGTAGGTGTCCATGGTATTAAAGGTAGGTGTCCATTGTATTAAAGGTAGGTGTCCATTGTATTAAAGGTAGGTGTCCATTGTATTAAAGGTAGGTGTCCATTGTATTCAAGGTAGGTGTTAATGGTAGGCGTCCAATTGATAAAAGGTAAGCATCTAACTCATTACTGCTGACGAGACTGCACAAAAAAAACATTTGCTAAAAGAATATAATTTCCTGCTATAAACCCATCGCTAGTAACCACATGCAAATAGTGCTGGTGATTACAAGAAAATAATGTTTACAGTACTTTGCGAGATCGTAGGCATGACCTCATATTCTATATACGACACGGCACTTAGTTTCTACCTGGAGACGTGAGTTACGACACCTGTCAGGTAAACCATAGACTATCTGTACGGTGTTAGAAAGGAACCTTCTAGAATAGCAGGGCCATCACTTACAGTTAAGATTAATATCTGATATCTGTGCGTTGAACAGTGATTTTAGTTCGCGAGTTAATGAGAAGACATCGAATAGCGAGTAGTAAACCAGCTCAGTCGAACCACTGATGAATGGATTATGACGATTTGTGTGATATGCAAGAGGTCAAATAAGAAATATTTCGTCTGAGGATGGAGGAACAACAAGCTAATATTTAGATATTGTTTGTGGGGGTTACAAATTTGTTAGATGGCTGACAATGACAGAAGGCTCCGTCTCGGCAGTCTTGTAATAGTCTTCAAATCCAACAGCTCTTTAAAAAATCCTCAGTAGTTTAACTTAAAGAAACAATTTGTGTTAAAATCCCCAGTAGTTAAACTTTAAGTGACAATTTTTTTAACATCCTCAGTAGTTTAACTTACATTAACATTTTTTTTTAAATCCTCAGAAACTTACAGTAACATCTTTTGTTAAAATCCTCAGTAGTTAAACTTAAAGAAACAATTTTTGTTAAAATCCTCAGTAGTTAAGCTTACAATGAAAATTTGTTCGTCTTCTTCTAATAAAAAAAAACCAAGCAAGCACCTACGACCCTTATAGAATCTACATCAAGGCTAAGTTTACTCCGATTAGCACAATGTGCTGCCAAAAGACTTGAAACTCCGGCGAACTATGAAGACATCACATTCGACTATTCTCAGACTATAGCGCCGACTTGTTTTATTTCTGTTTGGTCGAGTCGTTTCCCAACTCCCAAAAGCAAGAGTTCACGGGTTGACTGAAAATTGTCCATCTCCACAGATAACGTTGGCGGCCAGGCCTCGAAAAACCCCGGGGGTCGGGGCATCGCCATGGGCAAGGGTGTGTGTTCCTGTGACCTTGACAGAGAGTGTGTCTGCGAGGTTCCGATTGGCTGGAACAGAACCAGTCCAGCAGGACGTGTAGGTAGGTCAGTTCAAGGTCATACACGTGCGCCAAGGTTAGCAGTGTAGATCAATACTATTTATAGGGGAGGGGGCTCAAGGTCACAATTATTGTCATAGTAGGTCAAGGTCGTCTATCTGTGGGTTAAGGTTACTAGGGGTCATCCTGGTTACTAGAGTAGGCCGATGTTGCCCCTCCCCATCTATTCCCATCTCATGTATCCCCATCCTAACCATCCTCACCCCCCCCTATCCCTTCCCCAACCCACCTTTCACCACGCCACCTAACCCCACACCATCTATGCCCATCCCGCACATCCCTTACATTATCTATCCCAACCTATCCCCACCCCTCATATCCCCACCCCCACCTATCCCCACCCCCACCATCCCCATCTACGTCACACTCCACCAAGAAAAAAAAACGTCAGGTTTTACCCACGAGTTACATAACAAAAGTCTCAAACAAACGTCATTAGCTATTTATAGATCTGGAATTAACCCAAAGACTCCGACCTATTTGTTCTTGATGCCATACAAAGTTGACCCCTCCAAGACGTAATTAAAATTTGTTTGTCTTCCCGTCCTTCGCTGTCAGCTCTTTTAGTTCTGTTTACAAAAACAGAAACTTTTTTTTTAACCTAACCGGTTTAAAATACTGCTACAATTTTAATTGGCAACATAATTATGATTATCAGGCTAATTTAAATTAATACGGTGGTGGGACGGTTGTCACATGTCATAAAGGTAGGTCAGGGGTTTAGGGTTAAAAAATAACCTGACATTGTAACAAAATACTATGTATATAATTATAACATCACAAAAATATTAACTATTATAATAGTTTTTTTTATATATATTAGTAGTAGGACTATTGTGTTCGTTATTATTTTTTTTTTATTATTACCGTAATAATTATAATTAATTTGGTAATTGGCTAAAATTATTAGTAAAAGAAATAATTTTCAACAATCGCAACAATAACCCTGATTAAATTAGTCCTTAAAGTAGTAGAAGTAATAATGTAATGATACTAATATAAACCACATACTCCGTAATAAAAATGATAATAAGTGTCCCCTTTCTGCCTATACTTCTATTGTTACAAAATGAAATAAATATCCATTTGTTATCAAATAAATTCTTATGAAAATAAAAATTTAGTCTAAATCTAGACTATGATGAATAAGTATTGATAGCAAAGTGTTTATTTGTACCGATGAAGAAAGCAGATAATCCAAGGAAATTCTCAATGGACTAACAAAGCCACTCTAGATTTGTATAACAAGGTACCGACGCTACCATTGATCTGATTGGCTAAAAAAGAAATCCAGCTCCCATAATACCCTGGCATGACGTCTGCGCTTGACGTTCTGGAGTACAGATTGGGGTCAAGGCGGGCTTTGCTGGTCTTTTAGTACCGGGGTCAAGTAAATCTCGCGGGATTTGATGAGAGCGAGAAGTGGGCGAGTTTTGAAATGCCGAACAAATGACCAAGTGCTCAGAACAGAAAAATAAACTCCGATCAATTAAAAACGTAGCAAGTACACCCATGAATAATGCGCGGACGTGTGTGAAGAAAGTTCAAAAAAGTTAACAGCTAAAAATATAAAAACACTAACAAGTAGTGATTTTCATCACTGTTCGGCAGTTCATTCCTTTTTTTTCTGGGCTAACGGTCGTTTAGTCATTACGTCAGTGCTTAAAAGGCGGGAGGGGGAGGGGTCAGACTTTGGTGATTATTTGTGAGTAGGGGTAGGGATGTTTCAGAAAATGTGACGTTTTTATTTAATTAAAATAGGACAAACAATTATGAAAAAATGCTTCTAATGTCTAACATAAAGAGTCTAACACAAATAGGGTAGGGATGTTTCAGAAAATGTGATGTTTTTTTTTAAATTAACATAGGACAAACAATTATGAAAAATGCTTCTAATGTCTAACATAAATAGTCTAACACTAACACAAATGTTGTAATACCAAGCTCAAATATTCTAATATCTAACCCATATTGTCTAATGTCCTACAAAAATGTTCTCTCGCCCCCCCCCCCCCTCCCCCACCTCAGGACGTCAGCAGGTCTCAGAGAACCCCCTACCCCCCACCAGTGACGAGGTGTGCTCCCAGAACTGCCGGACCGGCATCGCCGTCTCCGTGTCCTGCCTGCTGGTCATCACGATTCTAGCCGCCGTCGTCTGGGCAGTCTGGCGCCGCCGGGAGGGCCGCTCGTCCATGTCTCTGAAACATGTCAACAGTCTGGTTTCCATGGCAGCCGTGCCATCGGACTACATCGTGGACGACTCACGTGACCAGAGGCCCCACCCCAACAGGCCGAGCTCTTCACCAGCTTCAGGTCCTAACAAGCTCGGGCTGGCTCAAGAGATTGTAAGTCACGAGTTATGAGTCGTAAGTCATGAGTCATGAGTCATGAGTCGTAAGTCATAGGTCATGAGTCGTGTCACGAGTCACGAGTCATGAGCTCTGAGTCGTAAGTCATGAGTCATGAGTCATGAGTCAGGAGTTTAAAGTCGTGAGTCGTGAGTCGTGAGTCATGAGTCGTAAGTCATGAGTCATGATTCATGAGTCGTAATCTAGAGACATGAGTTATGAGTTATGGATTATTAGTTGTGAGTCACAAGTCACGAGTCCTAAGTCATGTAACAATCTGTTAGTCATACATATTAATTCCTGTATCGTGGGTCATATCTCATATGCCATATGTCATAGGCTGCATGCCACATTCGCTAGTTACATGTAACATGTCAAATGTCATGTGTAATATACAATATGACATATGACATGTACCGTGACACATGTCACATGTCACGTCATGTGCAATATACAATATGACATATGACATGTACCGTGACATATGTCACATGTCATGACACATGTTATTTGTCATATGACATAGGTCATGGATTATACGTCATACGTAATAAACCACATGTCATTTTTCACCATTGTCTCATCATGCGCCATAAGGCATGACACAAAATACGATAGCTCCATTAAAACATAAACAGCGTCAACTCTCGCTACAAAATTCTCTTCAGTAGTCATGTGTATGTTGTATGTTCTATCTTGTGTGCGCTGGTTTCTTGTGTTATATGTGCCATAATTATCTTACTACTCTGACCATCTGTGTGTGCCTGTATGTTAAAGTAGTATGATGTTTTTTAATGTCGAACTAATCTGCTCTGGAAAAATCGTGTATGAACCTATTTCCCAATCTGTATGCACCTGTCTGTCACAGTAATGTGTTTTTAAAGGTGACCAGAAATATACGCAATGGAAAAAAGCGCAACGGAAAATAGCGCAAACAGAAAAAGCGCACAAAGAAAAATGCGCTTTTTTCCGTTGAGCTTTTTTCAGTTGCGCATCTTTCTGGGAACTTTTTAAATGTCAAGCCAACCTGTTCTGGTAGAACCATGTATGAACCTATTTCCTCATCTGTATGTATCAGTTAAAGTAGTTTTTTAATGTCATGCAAATCTGCTTTGGTAAAACCACGTATGAACCTATTTCCCAATATGTATGTATCTGTTTGTTAAAGTAATTTTTAAATGTCAAGCCAATCTGTTCTGGTAGAACCATGTATGAACCTATTTCCCAATCTGTATGTATCTGTTAAATAAGTTTTTAAATGTCACTCAAATCTGCTCTGATAAAACCATGTATGAACCAACTTCACAGTATGAAGACAAGTGGGAGTTCCCTCGAAGTTACCTGACCCTGGAACACGCCATAGGGGAGGGGGAGTTTGGGCAGGTGGTCAGGGCCCAGGCCATGATGCTGAATGGACAGGAGGGGAAGACGGTGGTGGCCGTCAAGATGTTAAAACGTGAGTACCCTTCACGTCAAATTCTCGTAATGTCGAAAGGACGTGCTTAGGTTTAAAATAGCCCTTACTGTCGAAATAATTTAAACGATTATTTCGAAATTTTAAAAATAATTTTCGTAATTTTATTTTTAATATAAATTTTAGATCTTACATCTTTTTTTTTAAAATCTAAAATATTTCATACTTGTTATATATTTTTTAAAACAATTTTGATAGCACAGCTATTTTTGAATTACAACATCTCCGTATCAGCATTAAGTGTGACATCATTGTTTTGTGTCTATAATAGTGATGTAAGACATCGGAAGATTTCATATTTTTAGTTAACCATGATATTATTGTATGAACTGATACGCACAGGTTAATTTAGATAGAAATGACGACAAGTTTGACCATTACAAATGAATGTTGTGTGCACGTTGAGTGAGCAAGGAAGAAAGCACGTGCAGAAGTAATCTGCACGCGCGTGTTTATATGTGGGTGTGGGGGTATGTGGGTGGGTGGGTGGGAACGTGTGGGTTGTTTGCGTTTTGCTATCTTGCGTTATACAAGCCTCGAATCTTTTTCTAAGATGCCAGCGTTGTTTAAATCCTCTAAAATTAGCAAAAGTTCATCTTTGTAATTAAAATCTTAAATCACGTTTTCCTGCCCGATTGTCAGAGAGAAAAAAAAACTCTCCCCACACTCTCCCTATACTCTCCCACATTCTCCTACACAAAAAACCGGAACCGGCAACAAAATTCCGGTCTACTTGAGATGCCGGCGTTCCAGGCAAAATGTCAGGCGCTAATGAGAGAGAAAAGTTTTTTTTTAAAATGATAAGTTATTCAATTCTATGTCGGATGTAGACTTTAACATGCTTTTATTTAGCTGATGGCTTTTTGGGTTTTAGAAATGACAAAATGACACTCTCTAAAAATGAAGAATAATTTCATAAAACATCGAGAGTTATGTCCCTGTTACATTTATCAGATTCAGTCTAGTTGTCCAGTAGAACCAAAAATAACCGTAAAATTGTTTCAGCTGTAGTTTAAACAGAAATCTCTAATGACGATTTCTATACAGCCTTCGGAGCTAACTTTTAATTTCCCAGGGCATAGTCCAGCGCCTTAATAAAAAAAAATGTCTAAATAACCAATTTATTTCAGAAAAAAAAATAAACAGAAATATCTGAAAATTTCAAAAGTTTCTTTAACAATAAAATAAAAACGGAATTTCTAAAGAATTAATATTATTACAAACAATAAAAGGTGAATTTAAAATAAGGTGATGGGAATTCTTTAACCGCAAACAAATAAACGAACGTGTTTGAAAATTGCGAAAATAATTTCTTGCCGAGTGTGTGGAGACAAGCCCGACCCTGATGAAACTTTAATGACGTTACGCTCCGCTGGGTGTCTTGCAGACGTCACGGCATTCATACCCACATCTTTGATGTTGTCCCACCTCGAAGATTTACTTTTATTGTTATTTTAACAGTTCATTATTTCCGGGCTTTTCTTTTTTTTTTAAATTTAACATTTTATATAAATGATTTTTTAAAGAAGTAAATTTAATGAAAATAAAGTTAACGTTATTGTAGATCCTGGTTCGTTTCTTTATGTTGCAAAATCAAACGTTTGTAACAAAGATTTAATCAAGCACGAATGTTGTATAGCAAACTGCTGACGTTAATGGGATTTGAATGTAAGTTTTTAGTGCTATATGGTGCTAATTCGGTTCAATCGGTCTGATGGTTCGGCGGAGGTCAAGACACACCCGGCACATTTGATTCATGGTGGTTTTGGCAGGGCGGACTATAGAACTATTTTAAGGAGGGTTCGGTGAATGCGCTAGTGGGGTTCGGTACCTTCTAAAATTGTGAAGTTTTGATTACTTATAACCAGGAGGAGTGTTATAAGGTGTGCAACTATTTTAAGGTCTGCAAAAATTATAAGGTGTGCGACTAATATAAGGTGTGCACCTATTATAAGATGTATAAGGTGTGCATCTATTTATTTTTTATTCCACTGATTAGGCGATAATTACATGTGTAGTTTGTATATAAAATGGACATTCGAATCTTTTTGGAATGGGATGGACTAAAAGTAGTATAAGTGAAGTCACTCTCGCATGGGAGATTGTGTATATACTGAGATCAGGAGGTCAGATGGGTTAATGTGAAGATAGATTTATTGAAGAAAATAAGGACAAGCAATTTGTCATAGAAATATAGTAACTAGGTAGTCCAAACTGAAATTAACTATTGATTGCAGACTTCTGGAGTGACTATATCATGAAAGAACTTTTAACTGTAAGGTCTATGCCACAAATTTTATAAAAATATCTCAATAAATAAAAAAGTTATGCGATTTTTAAAAAAGCAAAATTTGGTAAAAAACTGATTTTCAAAAAGTGCCATTTTTGAGAACCCATATTTTTTAAACTAAATAACATAGAAGTGTGGAAATTGGTAAAGTTGCTGCAAAGTTTGTAATATATATGCCCAATTTTTTTCAGTCATCTAAAATGAGTCTTTCTAAGGTAAAAAAATAATTGAAAATGACAAAAATGCGTTTTGGTCACTTTTATTTTCATAAAAAAAAAAAATCAATTTTTTTTTTTTGCTTTGGAATAACTCTAAAATTATTGTGTTGGTAACATCGACGTGGAAAAATGTGTTAATTATTTTCAAAAATCACATGAGTTAAAATATTATTTTAAAAAATACCACAGTTATCTAGTGCAGGACAAACAGAATCAAAATTTAGTAGAGTAAATGTAATGTAATGTAGTTTAATAAAGATGTGATGCCTACAAGTGATGCAGCAGTTGATGCCACATGCTTTGGTTTCTTTTCAAACCTGATAACTGCTTTGGGGGAACAGTTTTGGGGGAACATCTTTGTACGTCTTGTTTCCCTCAACCTTGATCTTGTGGAGCATCAAGAGTAAGTAATATGTTTTGGGAATTGTAGGGGGGAGGGGGGAGTGGGGTCTTGGCCTTCTTCCCTTCCCTTGTAAGGAAAGTTCTGGATAGGTCACCATAAATGTCTCCAGCTATGGAATAAATAATTGATTTAGTGATTAATAAAATAGAATTAAATTTACTACTAGCCTATTGTGTAGGCCTACTATTTGTCCTATGACTATAACTGGAAACATATGAAAAAGCCTGAAAACACCTTTTTGTTAAAAGTAATTTATATTTTTTAATATATATTTTTAAGAGTAATTCTACTGAATGAAATTTGAAATAATCGTTGCTTGTCCCACAATGGTTGAGATATCCAATGATGAAGATGCCATACTGTGGTTCTCAACATCCTATAGGACAACTTAACTGTCCTTCATTGTTACTATTATATGCATATAAAATAAATAAATAATGAGAAATACTACTAGTACTACTTACACTTACAACTAATATAACATTTAAAACTAAGTCACAACATGTACAATCTTAATAAATTGCACAACCATCTAAAAATTGATCTGGTACATTTTATTAAGGAGACTGGCGCAGACCATTTCACATTATTCAGCAGGGGAATCAGAATCAGAGTGCACAACAGAAAATAAAAAAATTAATCACATTAGTCCTTCATATTTAGTGTCTTTTGTTTTAAATACATTGATAAAAATGTATAGTTATTATAATTATAAATTTCTTTTGTGTTTCATTAGTATTTTATAAGTATTTAACCTTCGTTCCCTGTAAATAATTGAGTTCGTCCACATAGTAACCAGGATAGTCTGGTGGCCATTTTGAGTTTGTCGATTCATAATTTTGACGTGATAGTCCAGATAAACTGTAGTAATACGACCCTATCATTGATCCCAGTCAATAGATTTTAAAGAATTAGTAAACACTAGCATCTAATAGTTAAGTGCATCCATATTTTAAGTCCCTAGAATGTCCTGAATTAAATAGCTTCACGTCTAAACACACCCTGCGTACAAGCGTAGTTCACCCGCTAAAACCGTGGACTTGTAGCGTTTAAATTTACATTAATAACGTGTACTAATTAAACCAAACTGACATTCAAACTTAAAATTCATTTATTAAAATGGAAATGAAACTTTAAAAATGATACTTACAACTTGTTTGAAGGCTCTAGCAAGGGTAAAATCCGTTTAGCATCATCGGTCGTCAACCTTTAAAACCGTTCGGCGAGCAACTTACTCGGGGCTGAAAGTCGACTCGAGGGTTATATGTTTATTGGGGGTACGGCTTCGCGACCGTAAATCAGAAATACTTGAATTTACAACACAAAGTAGTTATAAAACTGAACTTTACATCGGTGTAAAAATTAAAACAGAATTTGTTTGTTTCCGTGTATATATCGTCATTTAAAGTTTAAAATCTGTATTTTTTAAATGAAATAAACAAGTTATTTTTTCAATTTATACATCAAACGATAGCCTAGAATTCGATCTTTAAAATGACATTAAGATTATGCTTCTACGATGCTTCGTCGCGAAGCCGCGACCAAATAAAACAGTGTGGGGTCGATCGGTACACGCAAAACGGTGAAATTTGTTGACGTAACTGATACTTTTCAAACAAATATAAAACACATTCAAACATGTGTTACAGATATTAAAATACCAGATTACGACAGATAAAGACTTAAACTTTATTGACATATAATTTTTATTCTTATAGGACAACTAGAAGTAGTGAAATTTTTTTTTTGAAAACCGCAAAAACTGACCCTAAAACGCACTTTTTCGCCAGTTTGGACTACCTATAGTAACACACAGGGGTAATGTGAAAATGTCCACACACATGGGTACCTTGAAAATGTCCACACAAAATATCCATGTAAACGACAGCTAACAAACGACTAGCACCTCTAGACATGTCCCACTGACCTCCCCACGTCTGCTGCCCACAGCCGATGCCTCAGGTGCCGAGTACCAGGACCTGGTCTCAGAGCTACAGCTGTTGAAGGAGGTCGAGCACCCCAACATCATCAAACTGCTCGGCGTCTGCACGCAGAAAGGTAAGTCTTGTCACCTGGTCTGTACGCAGAAAGGTAAGTCTTGTCACCTGGTCTGCACGCAGAAAGGTAAGTCTTGTCACCTGGTCTGCACGCAGAAAGGTAAGTCTTGTCACCTGGTCTGCACGCAGAAAGGTAAGTCTTGTCACCTGGTCTGCACGCAGAAAGGTAAGTCTTGTCACCTGGTCTGCACACAGAAAGGTAAGTCTTGTCACCTGGTCTGCACACAGAAAGGTAAGTCTTGTCACCTGGTCTGCACACAGAAAGGTAAGTCTTGTCACCTGGTCTGCACACAGAAAGGTAAGTCTTGTCACCTGGTCTGCACACAGAAAGGTAAGTCTTGTCACCTGGTCTGCACACAGAAAGGTAAGTCTTGTCACCTGGTCTGCACACAGAAAGGTAAGTCTTGTCACCTGGTCTGCACACAGAAAGGTAAGTCTTGTCACCTGGTCTGCACACAGAAAGGTAAGTCTTGTCACCTGGTCTGCACACAGAAAGGTAAGTCTTGTCACCTGGTCTGCACACAGAAAGGTAAGTCTTGTCACCTGGTCTGCACACAGAAAGGTAAGTCTTGTCACCTGGTCTGCACGCAGAAAGGTAAGTCTTGTCAACTGGTCTGTACACAATTAAGTCTTGTCAACTGGTCTGTACACAATTAAGTCTTGTCAGCTGGTCTGTGGACAGGTGGATGTATCACCTGGCTCTGTAGACCATCCCTCACCACCAACCCGCACACCACTATCCCACAACACCAACCCGCACGCCACTATCCCGCACACCACCATCCCACAACACGTACCCGCACACCATCATCCCACACCACCATCCCACAACACCATCCCACAACACCAACCCGCACGTCACTATCCCGCACACCACCATCCCACAACACGTACCCGCATACCATCATCCCACAGCACTAACCCGCACACCACCATCCCACAGCACCAACCCACACCACCTACCCGCACACCACCATCCCACACCACCATCCCACACCACCATCCCACACCACCATCCCACACCAACATCCCACACCACCATCACACACCACCTACCCGCACACCATCATCCCACACCACCATACCACACCACCACACCACCATCCCACAACACCAACCCGCCCACCACCACCCTCCCCACCATCCCGCACACCACCACCCTCCCCACCAACCCGCACAACACCATCCCACACCACCATCCCACAACGCCACTCACCACATCCGGCCCAAACTAATTAGCATAACTCACGGATAAATTGACTTCTTGTGTCTGACACGTGCGGCTATTTGTCTTCCCGTCCTCCTCGTGGTTTCTTTCTATTTATAGATTCACTTTTTAAAAAATAAAAAATTCGGTCGACGAAATTAATTAAAGTTAACAACACTGTCGTGTAGTGGATGTTTGATTAGTCAACCAATACAATAACTGCCACACGTTTGGACTTTTGTTGTCTAAATTATTAATCGACTGAAATTGTTGGCCATTGTACGCCGGAATAATAACAATTAGATCTACACTATGACAAGAAACTACCTTTGGGCACGGGACTACAGACAGACAAAAAGACAGACAAAATGACAGACACCAACATTACCGGCTTTGAGTACCACAGATAGAAATAAACCTACGTAAAAAATTAAAATTAAAATGCTTTTATTATATTTATTACAAATCACACAAAAAATTACAAATGAAAAAATGCCAAAAAAGTAAAAGATAAATTTAGTTTGGTCTGACCTTACTAAAGGTATTTGTTGGTATGAGTAAAAATAAAAGCCTGGGCGCTCAATGATGATAATGGAACAGAGGCCTTATATTATGTTACAGAACGTAAGCCTGTCAAAGAACTCCTTATGAAAGGGAATATTTTCTCCATAAAAGAGCGCGTTTTCCTTAAAAAAAATATTTTCATATCAGTTTTTTAGTTCGACTTTTTAGCCACTCGTTGATGCTACTTTGACTGGGACTAAAAATATCTCAAAAATTGGGTTATCTTCCCACTAATTAGTTCGTGATAGACGATAGTGCACGAAATCAACCAACCGTGAAAAAAGTTCACACTCGACAGCCTGCAGATCAAACAATCGCTAGAATTTTTAAAATCGTGTTATCTCCCCGTTTATTATTAAATAGAGTAATTTCTAAATTAAATTTTAATGACTAATTGTGTAGCTAAATATATATATTTTTTTAAAATTCGATATTCTTGCATTGTCATCCAAGATCTACCATTGTGCCAATTTTCAGCTCAATCCGACAATGGAAAGTGAATTAAATTAATATTCCAAGATTTGCGAGCCACACATACACACACACACAAACACACACACATACTTAGTAAGTCAAATAAAAGCCTTTAAAAAGATAAATAGACCCCCGCCCCCACCCCCCAACCACCCCCTCCCAGGCGCCGACCAGCAGAGATAACTTATCACTCTGTGAAACGGACCCACGAACAATCTCATCAGCTGATAAAGGGAGAGAATTTGTGTAAAACTAATAAAGACGAGTAGCCTACCGTGATCTAGAATTTCCAATCTATTCCCAAAACTCTCGCGCTGCTTCTATCCCTACCCCTTCCCTTTACACCCCCACCCCGAAATCCCACGCGTGCCACACACACACACACACACACCCACACACACACCGTCGGTGGATTCAATGAATTCGATATAAGCTAATCTCGAATGGGCGATCCCATTTTTTTCCCAGAATTGACACGCGGAAATCATGCGCAAAAAATAGCAGCAAAAAAAATCTTGGGCAGAAATTTAAACTAAAAAACGTATTTTTAAGAATTTAACGAGTTCTAGGTTCACATTTTAGTTTATTTTTGAAGTTTTGAGTTATGTTCGCGGCTACACCCATGGTCGGGTGATCGAATCCCGGCAAGTCGGAGTTGACATGAAAACTGTTGAGAAGAAAGTTAGATTATCTATTTGGGAATATTTTTGAAGTGCTGGTTAATCAATTCTACCTGAAGGTTTAATTTACGCTTCTCATCTCTGGTCAAACGACACACATTGGAGGTTTAACTTTCAGTTCTTGTCTCTGGTCAACCGACACACATTGGAGGTTTAACTTTCAGTTCTTGTCTCTGGTCAACCGACACACATTGGAGGTTTAACTTTCAGTTCTTGTCTCTGGTCAACCGACAACATTGGAGGTTTAACTTTCTGTTCTTGTCTGTTCAACCGACACACATTGGAGGTTTAACTTTCTGTTCTTGTCTCTGGTCAACCGACACATCTTGGAGATTTAACTTCCAGTTTTTGTCTCTGGTCAACCGACACACCTCAAACGTATAACTTCCGCACTGAGACTTTGGCGTGTAGAATGCAGTAGCAATACTATTCACCACTACTTTTCCACTCTCCAGTTACTAATCCATTTATGTGACCTGCTGTTGGAAACAGAATAGTTCTACTTCACCTACCAAATCAAATGCTATTGCAAGTGTAATTGTTTTTGTGAGCAACGGCGCTGAAGAAATCACTGTTAAATTGCAAGCTATATTTTGCCTGTTTTGTTGTTTTCCTAACACTATTGCTGGCCATGACTTATAACCTAAGACTAATCCCAGATCCTAAGCCTAATACCGACCCCAACCCTGAACCCTGTCTGTCTTTAACTTTGGACTTAGTCTGTTACTGGACCATGATTCAAAACCCAACACCTACCCTTACCCTTGACCTTAACTCTAATTCTTGCCCTGACCTTAACAGTGATACTGACAGAGTACAAAACCGTAATTCTATGCTGTTCTAACACACTTTTTAAACCAGTTAGAACCGAAAAGAAATTGCAGAAAAGTTGATACAGAACTTCAAATGTGATTTAACACTTATAAATGAATTTTCGGCAACCTAACTGTAACGGTACTCAAGTTATCGAACTTACAGCAGACACACACACAAGAGACATACGGACAGAATTGCAAAGTCCAGTTTTTCCGACTCGACGACGCGTAAAACGCCGAGGCTTTGATACATCTGAATAAAAAATAAGTCCCCCATACTCCATATACGATGAATACTGAGGTGTAATATGATGAAAACTGTCAAAATTTCATGTGAATGGTATGCATGATTTCAATACTTCCTCTATACTCTCTGTATACGAGATAGTAAAAACTAAGCTATTCGTCGCAATTAACCTTTTGCGGTTGTCCATTTTTGTGTCGCAATTAACCCTCTAAGGCATGACACAAATGTACAGTTAACCTTATATGTCAGGAAATGAATGTCCAATTAACCCTTTATATATCAGGACATTTCCATCTCTATGTTGCAATTAACCCTCTCCGTGTCAGGACATCAAAGTCCAATTAACCCTCAATACATCAAGACATGGAAGTCCAGTTAACCCTCTACGTCCGAACGTGTGTCCACCTCTATGTTGACACATCCAGTGCAGCTTCCAGTATCACAGCTAAACCAAAATGGCGGATCAACACGATTAACGCCCCTGCTTCTCAGATCTGCATTGTGACATAATGGTCAGGTGATTACGAAATCAGGGGAGATCAAAGCAGCTGTCGATCTGGGTTTTTTTTTAAACTACATTTTGGCTTACATAGTTGTCTGAATAGAAATAAGCACAGATTGTTGTATAAGAAAAAGCCCACTTTGGTTGCGGAGTAATAAGCCCAGATTTTTTTAAGCAAAATTAAACCCAGATTGTTATATTAGAAGTAAACTTACATAATGAGATCAGAAACTAGCCCAAGTTGAAATCATTGAGTAAGCAAAATGTTGGAGTAGAACTAATAAAATCCTCTGATGACCGTATATAAGACAATCTAATTACCTATTATATAACCATCCTATGACTTACTATAAAACAATCATACGACCTATTTAAAAAACATCTATTTTGCCAGTATAAAGCGATCTAATAACCTTTTGTAAAACTACCAAGTAACATATAAAACCATCCCATATCCTATTTTAAAACCATAATATGACATTTTATAAAACCATGACATGACCTATTATAAAACCATCACATGACCTATTATAAAACCACAATATGACCTATTATAAAACCATCCCATGACCTATTATAAAACCATCACATGTCCTGTTATAAAACCATAATATGACCTATTATAAAACCATGACAAGACCTATTATAAAACCATCACATGTCCTGTTATAAAACCATAATATGACCTATTATAAAACCATCCCATGACCTATTATAAAACCATAATATGACCTATTATGAAACCATCCCATGACCTACCACCCACAAGAAAAGGTCAACCAGAAATCATGTTCCGTTAACAACATCACTCGCTAAATTTAATTTTTGGAAATCATTTTTAGCCTCACCTTTGTGCAAAACTCAATATCGCTAATTAAGTCAGCACTTGGGCTAATGAGACCGTACAAATGTAATCAAATTTGTGTTGACACCGCCTGCTTGGATACTGCTATGGTATCTCAGACCTGGGACTGATCCCACTATGTACATAACATGAGTTGTCTACTTCAATGACACTAGCGCTGTACAACACAAATATACGATACTGGGCGACCGGAAAGATGCGAACCGGAAAACTGCGCACAAAAAAACGTTTGCAAATACATTTTTTGTTTCCTTAAGTCTAGCTTTTATAGACATTAAAAAAGAATGATCACATGTACATTGTAGCATAATGAAACGCTTTTTCACGAAATATGACTACGTTAAAAAGTATTAGTATAATTTATCTTGTATTTAGGCATTTTTCCGTTTGCGCATTTTTCTGGGAACCGCGATACTGCCGAGGCGTTCAATGCCTTTTGAAATCTCGGCCAGTTTTGAGCTGGACGTTGGATTATAATAACACTAGTACAAATAATCGAACGAACTGAGCTTCTTGATAAAGTTTTGAGAAACAAAATCGAAAAGTATAATTGATTGTGATACATGTTTGCTACAGTTCACATAAAGAACCTAACTTTTTAATAAACACATCACTTCCTACATCTCACATCATCAATAGACACTTTAAATCACAAGTAGACATCTTACATCACAAGTAGACATCTCACATCACCAATACACATCATACTCCACCAATAGACATCCCAAATGTGGGATGAAAGAGTAACAGTAACAAGGTTTCTTGCACTTTAAGATGGCTTTTTTAATTAGATTTACGTTTGCTTTCAGTTAAAGTAAATAGGTTTATATGGTTTCATCTTCCTCTATCCCTTTTCCCTCCCCAATCATCCTCTCCCCCCCCCCCCACCTCACTAGCACCGCAGTGATGCCAGACTTCAAGAAAACATTTAATCTCTAATTGATTGTCTCACCTTACGATAAATCTTCAGTGTAGATGTTAGTTTTTCTTTTTCTTTTGTTTTGGTTTGAACTTCTTAATAACTTTAACAAACATTTTGGGTTAGGATTGATCTGAACTGAAATCTCATATCGACACTACCCCCCCCCCCCCCACCGACCTCTATGTTAACTTCAAATGCGTCCCTGTACCATATCTCCCCTACCCCCAGGCTCCCTGTAACACTCCTCCGCCCCCAGGCCTTGTACCCCATCTCCCCTACCCCCAGACCCCCATTAATACATCTCCTCCACCCCCAGGTCCACTGTACGTTATAGTCGAGTACTGTAACATGTCTCTCTACCCCTCCCCACCCCCCCCCCAGACCCCCACTATAACACGTCTCCTCCACCCCCAGGCCCCCTGTACGTTATAGTCGAGTACTGTGAACTCGGCTCACTCCGGAGTTTCCTGCGATCATCAAAGCTGAAGAACAAAGGACGAAGCTGGGAGGATAAAGAACGATGCGGGAACGAGTCCAACTTGGCCGACACCAGGGACTCCCGTATTCTGACTATGAGGGACCTGCTCTCGTTTGCCTGGCAGATAGCCAAAGGGATGGATTATTTAGCTGGATTAAAGGTGAGGATAAATTATTCAATACCAACTTAATTGTAACACTTTGCAGTTATTATAAAACGATAATTATTCAAACTTTTCCTCAGCTATGTATATGGTTTAATGATATAGTGCGGGACATGATTCAACTGTTTTGTATAATTTTGTTTACATGCTGGTAAGGCTGATCAGAGTTTGGGTCAGTGTTATTAAACGTGTCAGCTTAATTGTTTGAGTTAGTGCTAAAGATAGGAACAGCATTAGGGTTAAAGATACGGTCAGCATTAGGGTTTGGGTTAGGGACTTGTCATTGTTTTGATAAGTAGAAGCTGTTTGAGTTAGGAAAATTTGGCGGGAAGGAACACGAAAGATTGAAATGTATCGAGTGATGCAGCACGCGATTGCTGATTGATTTCTTAAGTTTTGGTTGCAATGGCCGTAAGGATGTCCCTGAGTCCACTCAGCTCTAATTGGTACCTGGCTCGAATCAGGTAAACTAAACTCGACGCAATCTACTCACGTGCCAATATTAAAGAACCCTTTGGACTCGACTTTATGAACCGTCACGTCTGATAAAGCACATAGTATATAGATCTAAACTATGCTAGCCGTGTGGAAAATATACTCTGATAAATTCAGCTACATGACCGGTTGCCGGACACTTGATACTGAAAATGCAGCTGCACGTCCGGCTGCCGGTTGCCATGATCGTGTATTAAAAAATAGAAACTCCAGCACCAAAAGGACAAGAAACCTTTTGGTCCTTGTGAGAAAAATCAAACCGCTTTGTTTCTGCCATCTTACCGTCTGATGGCTGGCACTCGTAGACTGATTGATGAGTTCAGGAGGGCCTAAACCCGACTCCAACAGCCCCCACACCCGACACCAACAGCCCCCATACCCGACAGCTTCAAACTAGTGCACGCGTCAACAGCTCGGTTGTCCTGTTTTTTCAGCCAATGAATTGCCTCTGCATATTTAATGAAGCTGGCTCGTTGTGACGTCACTGCCGACACGCCAGCATCACAGTTTTGATTTATTACTGCTGAAAAAAAACGCAATTTTTTTTCCAAAGGAAACCAACACCCGCTTTAAAAAAAAAAAAAGCTCTTTTTAACTCTTTTTTTTCTGTTTGTAAGCTGATAGATAAATGGGCCCGGCTAATGTTTCTGAAATTGTTTAAGGTAGGACGTGGAGATGAAAGAGGTGTTTTAATTATCGGATTTTTTTTTTTTTTTGCCTCCACTAGATCGTCCACAGGGATTTGGCGGCCAGAAATGTGCTGGTGACGGAGGGGATGAAGCTGAAGATTTCAGATTTCGGGCTCAGTCGGGATGTCTACGAGGCGGATACGTATCTTAAAATGAGCAAGGTAAACAAATGTGGTTGCATGTCTAGGTAAATAAACAAAGCTGCATGTCTGGGTAGACAAAAGTCTCCAGGTCTAGGTAAACAAACTGCTACAGGTCTAGGTAAACAAACGGCTACAGGTCTAGGTAAACAAACAGCTACAGGTCTAGGTAAACAAACAGCTACAGGTCTAGGTAAACAAACTGCTACAGGTCTAGGTAAACAAACTGCTACAGGTCTAGGTAAACAAACTGCTACAGGTCTAGGTAAACAAACTGCTACAGGTCTAGGTAAACAAACTGCTCCAGGTGTAGGTAAACAAACTGCTACAGGTCTAGGTAAACAAACTGCTACAGGTCTAGGTAAACAAACTGCTGCAGGTCTAGGTAAACAAACTGCTCCAGGTCTAGGTAAACAAACTGCTACAGGTCTAGGTAAACAAACTGCTCCAGGTCTAGGTAAACAAACTGCTCCAGGTCTAGGTAAACAAACTGCTACAGGTCTAGGTAAACAAACTGCTCCAGGTCTAGGTAAACAAACTGCTCCAGGTCTAGGTAAAAAAAACTGCTACAGGTCTAAGTAAACAAACTGCTCCAGGTCTAGGTAAACAAACTGCTACAGGTCTAGGTAAACAAACTGCTACAGGTCTAGGTAAACAAACTGCTCCAGGTCTAGGTAAAAAAAACTGCTACAGGTCTAGGTAAACAAACTGCTCCTGGTCTAGGTAAACAAACTGCTCCAGGTCTAGGTAAACAAACTGCTCCAGGTCTAGGTAAAAAAAACTGCTACAGGTCTAGGTAAACAAACTGCTACAGGTCTAGGTAAACAAACTGCTCCAGGTCTAGGTAAAAAAAACTGCTACAGGTCTAGGTAAACAAACTGCTCCTGGTCTAGGTAAACAAACTGCTACAGGTCTAGGTAAACAAACTGCTACAGGTCTAGGTAAACAAACTGCTACAGGTCTAGGTAAACAAACTGCTACAGGTCTAGGTAAACAAACTGCTACAGGTCTAGGTAAACAAACTGCACCAGGTCTAGGTAAACAAACTGCTACAGGTCTAGGTAAACAAACTGCTACAGGTCTAGGTAAACAAACTGCTCCAGGTCTAGGTAAAAAAAACTGCTACAGGTCTAGGTAAACAAACTGCTACAGGTCTAGGTAAACAAACTGCTCCAGGTCTAGGTAAAAAAAACTGCTACAGGTCTAGGTAAACAAACTGCTCCTGGTCTAGGTAAACAAACTGCTACAGGTCTAGGTAAACAAACTGCTACAGGTCTAGGTAAACAAACTGCTACAGGTCTAGGTAAACAAACTGCTACAGGTCTAGGTAAACAAACTGCTACAGGTCTAGGTAAACAAACTGCACCAGGTCTAGGTAAACAAACTGCTACAGGTCTAGGTAAACAAACTGCTACAGGTCTAGGTAAACAAACTGCTACAGGTCTAGGTAAACAAACTGCTCCAGGTCTAGGTAAAAAAAACTGCTCCAGGTCTAGGTAAACAAACTGCTCCAGGTCTAGGTAAAAAAAACTGCTACAGGTCTAGGTAAACAAACTGCTCCAGGTCTAGGTAAACAAACTGCTACAGGTCTAGGTAAACAAACTGCTACAGGTCTAGGTAAACAAACTGCTACAGGTCTAGGTAAACAAACTGCTCCAGGTCTAGGTAAACAAACTGCTACAGGTCTAGGTAAACAAACTGCTACAGGTCTAGGTAAACAAACTGCTACAGGTCTAGGTAAACAAACTGCTCCAGGTGTAGGTAAACAAACTGCTACAGGTCTAGGTAAACAAACTGCTACAGGTCTAGGTAAACAAACTGCTACAGGTCTAGGTAAACAAACTGCTACAGGTCTAGGTAAAAAAAACTGCTACAGGTCTAGGTAAACAAACATCGCTGTAAGTCTAGGTAAACAAACATCGCTGTAAGTCTAGGTAAACAAATTGCTACAGGTCTAGGTAAACAAACTGCTACAGGTCTAGGTAAACAAACATGGCTGTAAATCTAGGTAAATAAAAGTCTGCAGATCTAGCTAACCAAACATCGCTGTAACCCTAGGTAAACAAACTTGGCTTCAAATCAAGAGCCTAGTTTGCTAAAACACAAATTTGGGCGGGTTCTTCTGCATGTTATAGGCGCCTAAACTACAAGTCAAAGATTTGGGTGTGTGGTCGGTTGAGTAGTGTTACCTCCCCACCACTTAGTATGAGCTGAAAAAAAAAAGTTATAATTTAGGTAATTCTTTACATTTTTCTATGTTATGTTGAATACCACAAGACACATCAAATATTCTTCCCTTTCGAACAGCCATATCCATCGCAGACCAGTTAGATTTTTTAATTACATTTTAAGACATACAAAAATAGTAATCTAATATATAAAGCTCAATTCTGTATGTAACATGTTTGTAAAATGTAAAACGTTTGTCGTGGATACTTCGATGGATTTAAGTGTTAGATTTTTATAGTGCTCAGGGTCTAAATTTATGAGTAAAAAATTACTAGTAATAATTTATTTTTAGTTTTAGACAGTTTGGAAGAAAAAAGATCAACAGCACTTATCAATCACCTTCAATCACCACTTCATGTTCTAAAATAACAGACTGACTTCCTTGCTGAATAAAAATGTGACCTTCCCTGCCATATAACACAATGAACTTGCATAAGGTTAAATATAGTATCCTCTCTGCTAATCCACACAATGACTATTCCTGCTATATTACACAGTGAACCAATCTGATACAATACACAGTCATCTCCCCTGGTAAATTACACACTAATCTTTCTAATAAGTTTTAGAGTTACTACCCCTGATAAGTTACACAGTGACCTCCCCTGCTTAATAATTTAGTATTCTCCCCTGTGAAGCTCATGGGTTGTTTTTTTTTTATTAATGAAATGCTATTTTTATAAAGCTCTATAATAAAATTGTGCCCACATTCTTACAATGAATGTTTGTCCCGTCGGTTAACCCAAACCCACGTTATTCGTCTAGAATTAAGTTTAGGAGTAGGGTAACGGTTATACAGGTCTAGTTCCGTGGATTATTGTAATGTATGGGCTTGTTGCATTGTTGTCAGCGTCGTTGATTCTATGAATATGAAAGTATGGGTAATCAATGAGCTGCATTATTGGAAAATTGGTGGGGGGGAGGGAACCCGGTCAAATGGACGTTTGCCAAGTCGGTGACGCGACAACTCGGAGAAAGGTCACCTGGGCGAGGAGATGTCAATTTTTGTTGTTTAAAAAAAACAACCTCTAAATTAAAGAAAATTCTTTTGTGAGATTTCAACTCAAATAACAACATACAAAGATATCATTGTCATTACAAGACTTGAATTCCTACACTAGTAAATGTGAAGATAAAGATGGCAGATGAAATTTAGGTAATGTACTATTAATGTTTAAGGAAAAGTGTCATTGACTTTAAAAATGTGGATTGGAGTAAGAACGAACATTTAATACCGCTGAAATTAAATTATGAAATTAGATTAGCCATTGAAACGAAGAAACCGTATGTGAGGGGAAGGAACTGTGCAAGAAACGAAAGATAATTACAAATTTAAACAAATAAAACGTTACCTCCCCTGGTGTTTTAAAGTGGAAAGAAAGATAAGCCCAAGATGTGGAACATTTTATTTGAATTGGTCTGAGAAAGTTGTAGGTTCACTTTTTATCATTGGGCCTCTAGAATCTTGGCGCCTCCACAACATTCACCACATTCATTCTATCGGGTACCTAATCACACAACACTCAACACATATGTGGGTACCTAATCACTCAACACTCAACACACATATGGGTACCTAATCACACAACACTCAACACATATATGGGTACCTAATCACACAACACTCAACACATATGTGGGTACCTAATCACTCAACACTCAACACATATATGGGTACCTAATCACACAACACTCAACACATATATGGGTACCTAATCACACAACACTCAACACATAAATGGGTACCTAATTACACAACACTCAACACATATATGGGTACCTAATTACACAACACTCAACACATATATGGGTACCTAATCACACAACACTCAACACATATATGGGTACCTGATCACACAACACTCAACACATATATGGGTACTTAATCACACAACACATATATGGGTACCTAATCACACAACACTCATCCCATATATGGGTACCCATTTTCACCACACTCAACACATATATGGGTACCTAATCACACAACACTCAACACATATATGGGTACCTAATCACACAACACTCAACACATATATGGGTACCTAATCACACAACACTCAACACATATATGGGTACCTAATCACACAACACTCAACACATATATGGGTACCTAATCACACAACACTCAACACATATATGGGTACCTTATCACACAACACTCAACACATATATGGGTCCCTGATCACACAACACTCAACACATATATGGGTACCTAATCACACAACACTCAACACATATATGGGTCCCTGATCACACAACACTCAACACATATATGGGTACCTAATCACACAACACTCCACATATATGGGTACATAATCACACAACACTCAACACATATATATGGGAACCTAATCACACAACACTCAACACGTATATGGGTACCTAATCACACAATACTCAACACATATATGGGTACCTAATCACACAACACTCAATACATATATGGGTACCTAATCACAAAACACTGTTCCCATAAATGGGTACCTAATCACACAACAGTCAACACATATATGGGTACTTGATCACACAACACTCAACACATATATGGGTACTTAATCACACAACACATATATGGGTACCTAATCACACAACACTCATCCCATATATGGGTACCCATTTTCACCACACTCAACACATATATGGGTACCTAATCACACAACACTCAACACATATATGGGTACCTAATCACACAACACTCAACACATATATGGGTACCTAATCACACAACACTCAACACATATATGGGTACCTAATCACACAACACTCAACACATATATGGGTACCTAATTACACAACACTCAACACATATATGGGTACCTTATCACACAACACTCAACACATATATGGGTCCCTGATCACACAACACTCAACACATATATGGGTACTTAATCACACAACACTCAACACATATATGGGTCCCTGATCACACAACACTCAACACATATATGGGTACCTAATCACACAACACTCTACATATATGGGTACATAATCACACAACACTCAACACATATATATGGGAACCTAATCACACAACACTCAACACGTATATGGGTACCTCATCACACAACACTCAACACATATATGGGTACCTGATCACACAACACTCAACACGTATATGGGTATCTACTCACACAATACTCAACACATATATGGGTACCTAATCACACAACACTCAACACATATGTGGGTACTTAATCACACAACACATATATGGGTACCTGATCACACAACACTCAACACGTATATGGGTATCTACTCACACAATACTCAACACATATATGGGTACCTAATCACACAACACTCAACACATATATGGGTACCTAATCACACAACACTCAACACATATATGGGTACCTAATCACACAACACTCAATACATATATGGGTACCTAATCACAAAACACTGTTCCCATAAATGGGTACCTAATCACACAACAGTCAACACATATATGGGTACTTGATCACACAACACTCAATACATATATGGGTACCTAATCACACAATACTCAACACATATATAAGTACCTAAAAAAACAACACTCAACACATACATGGGTACCTAAAAAAAAACACTCAACACATATATGGGTACCTAAAAAAAAACTACACTCAACACATATATGGGTACCTACTTTCACCACACACATCCCATATATGGATACCCACTATCAAAACACAAATAAGTAACTGTTTTAAACCCTAAACTTTACCCTAACATTTACCCTAAATTTAATCCAGGGGAGACAATGTAATGTATGAAGACAACACGCCTGTAGACTTATCTCGGATTATTCATATATATATATATATATATATATATATATATATATATATATATATATATATATATATATATATATATATATACAGACAAACACATACAATTTCGTAATATTAGACCTACAATGTTACTTAAGGCTCGCATGAGACAAATACAGAAAGTGTTGGGTTTTGAGTTTCTTTTTTATCAGACCTTCAGGGGTTCAGACCTTTTAGGGTTCAGACCTTTCATGATTCACACATCCCAGGGTTCAGACCTTCCATGGTTCACACCTTTGAGGGTTCATACCTCCCAGGGAACCAGGACTCAGGGAGTCCAGCCCCTAACAAGGATCAAATATTCGAAATAAGCCGAAAAATGAACCCCCCCCCCCCACTCTTATACATACTCCAAGCGTTTTGTCCTGTATCGTGTTTCCTATGTCGTGTTTGTTTGGATCCGCTAGGGAGGGGAAGGTTTTCCAGTTCTGCTAAATATTCATTGTTAACAGATCACGCACATCACACACATCACCCAAATCACACAGGCACAACAGCACTTATTTCGCGTATGGCTTTACCGGCCTAGCGACGTGGATGAAAAACTAAATGTCATCTTAACCCTAAGTTGTGATTCCCAGAATATTGACAATAACCTAACTAGTGAAATAAAATCTAAGTTTTTTTAAGTCTTAACTTCACAAGCTAAACGCTAATCCCTATAAGACAAAACATAATCCCATCAAATTATACCCTAACACTAACACATTTTTAAACCTCTATCCTTAAATAGATAAAAAGTAATCCTGTATAAAAGAAAACATAATCCCATCAAATTATACCCTAACACTAACCCATTTTTAAACCTCTATCCTTAAATAGATAAAAACTAATCCATATATAAGAGAAAATATAATCCCCACAAATAATACCCTAACACTAACAAATTTTACGGACTTAGATTGGTAAATTCAACACTTCTAGTAAACACGGACAACGTGTTGAAAAACAAAGTGCAGCAAGGTTACACCGCGATTATTATCTCTGCATGACTTGTAACGAAGACTTTAGGTCGAAACGTCTCCATTTGTTGTGGTTTCAGGGCCGTATGCCAGTCAAGTGGATGGCGCCTGAGTCCTTGTATGCTCAGATCTACACAATGAAGAGTGACATGTGAGTTGTCTCCCTTTTATTCAATTCTTTTTTTTTTTTTTTTTTTTATTTGTTTTTCGTTTTTTTTTTTTGTTTTTTTTTTGTGGCTAAGTTACATGCTATTTGGGTAAGTTTAGACTTGCGAGGATGTATCATTACGGGCGTCATTAATCTTGTTGGAGGTGCATTCAGAATGCTCTGTGAGAAGCATGTATTAGAAGCTGAGAGGTGCATTTGTAATTCGAGGATGGTGAGATTGTATAACCCAGGCGGTTCCCAGAAAAATGCGCAACAGAAAATTGTGCAATCTAAAAAATTGCGCAAACAGAATAATGCACAATATAAAAATTGCGCAAACAGAAAATACGGAAATACAAACTCATTTTTACTTTCTCGTATATACGAAGTAGCCTATAGAGAAAGTCTTGTAATCGTGCAAAAAAAAAATCGAGATTTTTACAAATCTCGACGTTTTACACCTCACTGATACGGAAAAACATAATTTTGCAAACTTGTCCGTATGTCTGTGTGTCTGTCTGTCTGTCTGTCCGTGTGTAAACACGATAACTTGAGTACCGTTATAGCTAGGTTGATGAAATTTCATATATAAGTATTTTATCAAAATCGTAGATCCGTATCAACTTTTGAGCGATTTCCGATAACCGGAAGTGGTACTTTTCCTACTTTGAATTTTTCAAAAGCCTATAACTTGAGTACTATTTCAGATAGATAAATGAAATTTCACATGTAAGTAAAAGATCTAATTCTCTACCTTCTGTTAAATTTTGAGTAATTTCCGTTTGACCGGAAGTAGTAATTTACGCTACTTCCAATTTCTCAAAAAACTAATGTAAATTTTAAAAGTACTAATAATATTGCGCACTATTATGCGCTTTTTTATTTGGCGTTCACTTGGTGCGCAATTAATTTGTCTACGAGATTTTATTCTATTTTTAAAACTTTAAGTATTTAAAATGGATTAAAAATCATGTCTATAGCCCGAGTTCCCATCCCCTGTTATTTTATATAAGAATATTCGAGAAAGTTTAGGGGAGATCACTCCCGGTTTATTCTGATAGAGTTTTAGTCAATCATATTAAGCGGAAAGATGTTTAATTATTCAACTCTTTAAATATTTTCATTCTTTGCTAACGTCCTTGATTTATAGATTTTTTTTTTTTAAATGCGTATGCTCACTGTTTCGTGCACAAATTTCCGTTCAGCGAATTTCTATTGCGTATTTTTCTGGTCAACAACCCAGGTAGTAAAGTCATGAGATGTTGAGGGATGGGGGCGCTACAGCCCAGGTAGGAGGGTTATTATTCATCATAGCTTTCGTTGGATGGATATCTAGTATTCAGCGAAGCGGGATAACTCGAAACGTGGGAAGAGAGTAATGTCCCCTGGCTGTAGTAATCTGGCTCTAGCTGTTTTTTTAAGGCTGTCATAAAGAAATCTTAAGACAAATTATTTTCTTCTTTTCCAGCTGGTCTTACGGCATTGTTCTGTGGGAGATTGTTACTCTCGGTAAGATCAAGTTTCATTTTAAAAATAAACTATCCTGAGCAAGAAATAGAAATAACTTTTTTTTTAATCTAGTTAGTAAGAATAGCATGGTCTTTGAGTAGAAAAAAACGAGTTATAGACATGAAGAAGTGTCGTTTTAAAAAAACATGATCAAATCGATTCAATTTTTCTTTTTCTTTTACCAACGACAGGGGCGTCGCCCTACCCAGGCATACCCCCGGAGAGAATCTTCCCTCTACTCAGCACTGGCTACCGGATGGACAGACCGGAAGATTGCCCGGAGGAATTGTGAGTCACGTGATTTCATCTTGTAGTCACGTGATTTAATCTTGTAGTCACGTGATTTGATATTATGGTCTCGTGATTTAATATTGTGGTCATGTGATTTAATCTTGTAGTCACGTGATTTGATATTATGGTCTCGTGATTTAATGTTGTGGTCACGTGATTTAATCTTGCAGTCACGGGATTTGATATTATGGTCTCGTGATTTAATGTTGTGGTCATGTGCAGTGGCGTAGCGAGGTCGGGTGTCACCCGGTGCGGCACTTAATGGTGTCACCCCCCCAGAGGCATAGAGACCCTTCCCAGGGACAAACTTTAAAATTTTCGATTTGCACCCCCCCCTCAAACTTTCGATTTGCACCCCCCCCCCCCCCTCGAGTTTTCGATTTGCACCCCCCCCCCCCCCTCAAACTTTCGATTTGCACCCCCCCCTCGAGTTTTTCTCTATGTATTTTGCTATTTTTTGCCTTGGTGTCACCCCCCTAAATGGTGTCACCCGGTGCGGTCCGCACCCCCCCGCCCCCCCCCCCCTCGCTACGCCCCTGGTCATGTGATTTAATCTAGTGGTCACGTAATTTAATATTGTGGCGGGCTTAACCCTAAACCCGCCTTATCTCTAAATACGACAATAGGTCCAATACTGCTCTATCCTGAACCCTAACTCTTAAAGTAATATCGGTAGAAAAAAAAAAGCAATGATGTAATGCCCTACTTGTGCATTATTTTACAACCGTACGTTATATCATTCATCTACGGCCTATATACGTACAGTGTCATTTATCAAAAAGTTCGTGTTTACAGGTACGCCATCATGCAGAAGTGTTGGAAAACGGAGCCTGAAAATCGTCCACATTTCTCTGTGCTGAGGGACATACTCGATCACTTATTGCAACAGAATATGGTAAACATACTCGATTACTTTTTGCAACAGAATATGGTAAACATACTCGATTACTTTTTGCAACAGAATATGGTAAACATACTCGATTACTCATTGCAACAGAATATGGTAAACATACTCGATCACTTATTGCAACAGAATATGGTAAACATACTCGATTACTTATTGCAACAGAATATGGTAAACATAATCGATTACTTATTGCAACAGAATATGGTAAACATACTCGATTACTTAGTGCAACAGAATATGGTAAACATACTCGATTACTTATTGCAACAGAATATGGTAAACATACTCGATTACTTATTGCAACAGAATATGGTAAACATACTCGATTATTTATTGCAACAGAATATGGTAAACATACTCGATTATTTATTGCAACAGAATATGGTAAACATACTCGATTACTTAGTGCAACAGAATATGGTAAACATACTCGATTACTTATTGCAACAGAATATGGTAAACATACTCGATTACTTATTACAAACAAAAATATGGTAAACATACTCGATTACTTATTGCAACAGAATATGGTAAACATACTCGATTACTTAGTGCAACAGAATATGGTAAACATACTCGATTACTTATTGCAACAGAATATGGTAAACATACTCGATTACTTATTACAAACAAAAATATGGTAAACATACTCGATTACTTATTGCAACAGAATATGGTAAACATACTCAATTACTTATTGCAACAGAATATGGTAAACATACTCGATCACTTATTGCAACAGAATATGGTAAACATACTAAATTACTTATTGCAACAGAATATAGTAAACAATTGCATTGCTCCCAACACAACAAGTCCCGCTACGCCTACCAAAAAGAAAAGAAAATGCCGATTTTCTTTTTCGTCATAGCACTTTAAGTCTACTGGAATAAAATTGCAAACTTCTTTCGATTGTTGGCTAGTAAATTATTTTTAACTATAAATAATTTTCTGTGAGTGGTATAAAAAATTATTTATTCTATCGCCGACTATAGAAGATATTCATTCAACGTATTCTCTGGGGACGGGTTGGCTAGTCCACTCCCCTCGAGCGCCGCGTCATTGAGGTGCCACGAGAGTCTCAGTTTTGGGTTAATAAGTCCGTTAGTTCCAGATTTATCTGAATCTCCTGCCTGAGTGCTCACTTTTTTTTTTGTCCATGGGCGTCTAATGACTATAGGAAGAGACATGCGAACCCAACGCCCGCTTCCTACACCCACTTCTTCCCCTCCCAGCTTATTTTATCCACCAATTGGATACTAGATTTATAAATAGTTTGACGATGTGTTCTTTGTGGCAGTTTTTTTCCACCTCATACCCCTCCCTATCCTTTAAATCATATACTTTTTTTTTCATATAATTGCCTATGCACCCAATAAACACACACCCCATATATTGGTGTGTTGTTTATTTTTAATTTTTTTACTTTAAAACTGACCAGTAATGGGATCATTTGTAAGAATTTATTGTTTAACCTGTAACTCATAGGGCTTAAGTTTCAACCAGCGCCGCAACCTTACTCCCGCCCCCTCTCACACATATACGCACATCCCCATTTGAAAGCCCTGAAAATAGTTACTAAGCTTTTGTTCTGAGATATTATTTTAATATCAGTAGGTATATCATGCTTTTGAATAAATACGCTTACTTGCACTAAATATATGTCTACATTTCAATAAAAATTAAAATGCACAAATTATCAGAAATGAAAAATAATAATAAATACTAGATATTAAGTTATTAAGTTATTAAAAATAAATCTAATTCTTTTTTTTTACAGGAATATCTCGAATTATCAAATGGCAACTACTTCTCGTCCATCACTAGTTATGGTGAGTAGCTACCTAGAATTTTTTAAAAAAATATACTTCTCAATTATTGTAATTCTGATTTATTATAAGAAGGGAGTGGTCAGCCCTTCGCACCCCTTTGTTACGCCTTACAGTGATAATAACCAATAGATATTTTTGTTTCGTTATTTATTACACCTCCATCTTTTTTTCAACTACTGCCTCAGATTTTGACGAGAGGCCGTGTGACGTCATCCACCACTACAACAACACCAGCACCACCAGCAGCACCAAACAGTGCCCGCCGGACGCCTACGTGACCACCAGCTGGCCCTCGGAGGAGCTCGGGGACAGCGAGTGTCCGGAGCTGTCCAAACTGCTGGTCCACCCGGAGAAGGAGGAGACGGACGAGGAGCTGGTGACCCAGCTTAGCATGGGCTACCACGACGGTCACAAGAAGCCCGGCAGGGTGCTGGTCCATGAGAACTTCACCTACGTCTGAGGGCATGACGGGATTCGCGAGATATTTAAGTACTGAAATGTTTTTGCTGAATTCTCGAGTCACGGAAGAAATTTTATAAAATTTCTATGTGATATTTTCCGGAACAAAATGAAACTTCAACAACAAATTAATGAAGCTTGTGATCGTTAAGGGATGGTCTCTGCTCTCATAAAAGAAATCAAAGTGACATATTGCGGATTGTATAATTTAATGTTGTTACACTTTCCAAAGCTATGAAATAATGTACATATTTTACTATTGTGTGCCATTACCGATAAACTTTTTGAAAAAAAAATTATTGACTTTGTGGAATCAACGCTAATTTTTTTTCTTGATTTCATAAAAAAAGCTGATTTCATAGATCACCATTATGTTAGCATTTTCAATGTTGAAACAAGCACATAAACGCACCACACACATACATATGTACATTCACATTCATCACAAATGTATTCACACACACATATATATGTATACATATATATATATATATATATATATATATATATATATATATATATATATATATATATATATATATACATGTATATATATATATACATATATATGTATATATACATATATATGTATATATATACATGTGTATATATATATATATATATATATATATATATATATATATAAACATGTATTTATACATATACTTATATGTAAAAATAATTTATACTTATATTAATATAAACATATTATATATATACCTGTATATATATATATATATATACATATATATATATATATATATATATATATATATATATATATATATATATATATATATATATATATATATATATATATATATATATATATATATACACCTGTATATATATATATATATATATATATATATATATATATATATATATATATATATATATATATATATATATATATATATATATATATAGTTGAATTTAAGTGTACCAAATATCAAGAGGGTTGTAATTCTTACTGAAGTCAGATTTTACCTTTATTTGTTGACTGTTACTCTGAGAGTATTTCATCCATTACTTGATTACTGCCAACTATGTACTACAGCACCAAACTCGATGTTCCACATTTGAACATTCCTTGTCAATTCTTCAGTACACACAAGTTTAAGTTGTGAAAAGTAAAATGCAATTTGTCTTAATGCACTAACACGAAGGTAAGGTGGGGGGGGGGGGGTAATTTTATGGTTCCAATGAAGAAACAGTGGCTCCTTAAGTTGGACACTTGTTTTCAAAGATAGAGTTAAGTAAATTGAGAAAACCACATTTAACTTATATAGATATTAACGTTAAAGAATCTTAATTTTAATTTAGTTTTAATACAATACTTCACCCAAATAAGTTTTATAGATTGAAAAAAAGGGGCCATTATTTTATTTTGCGACTTTTTTATAACTGTCATTTTAAAAAACAAAAAATTGGTTTTTTAACTTTAAAACATAGCATACTCAATTTTAAGTAGCCTACTGTAAAATATAGACTCCAAAAACTCGATGAAAGTAAGACAACTTAGTTTTATTTTTACCAATTTAGTCAAACTCATTATTATCGAACGTTTTGGGCAAGGTAGACAACCTAGTTTATTCTCTATAACTGCGATCAAAGCAGGAAAACGAGTTTTGTTATTGACTTTTCAGCTTTCTGATGTTTTTCTGACTTGTGATTTAATTGTACATAGGTTTGTTAAAAAGTGCATTATTAAATTTTTCGAAATGATTGAACATTAATTGTAAACAATGAGATATGCTAATTTTTAATCATTGAACATAATTTTGAACAATGAGATATATTAATTTTTAATTATTGAACATAATTGTAAACAATGATATGCTAATTTTTTTAGCACCAGAGACACTGCTCCCTGGCCTTGAGGCTTTTATTTATTTTTTTTTTTATTTCACTACGAGTATGTCAAAACAACTTAAATAAAGTCATGCTAAAAGGCTAATGCATTACATATTTGTTTTAATTTGTCTCATGTTTTGACCGGACATCTCACATAGGAGATGGGGTGTTTGATAAGACTGCAGGGGAAACATGGGATTGCTGGGGTTCCCAGAAAGAACCGCAACGGAAAAAAGCGCAACGGACATAAGCGCAAAACAAAAAGCGCATCGGAAAAAAAGAGCACACGGAAAAAAGCGCAAGTGAGTGAAGTTTTGCCATAGGTACGGGTTGTTATGGTATGCAAGCTAGGTAGTTCGGACTAGGGAGAATGTGAAAGATACTTCGTGTAATGTCGATAGTTTTATGTTTATACGAGAATAGTAGTTGAATAATTATTGACCAAGAAAATAATAGGCATTGTGTAAAGTGATTATCGCCTGTATCGTGGTGATGGGAATGCAGATGGTAGTGGTACGCTTTAAATGGTAGTAGATCACGTGATCAAACACGACACTCTTACAGCAGCCCTAACAGTCATGTATAAATGTGTCATCTAGTACATATGGTCTTTGTGAAAAATTTCTCTTTTGCACATTTTTCGTTGTGTTTTTTCTGGTTGCGCATTTCTCTGTTTGCGCTTTTTTTCTGTTTGCGCTTTTTTCCGTTTGCGCTTTTTTCTGTGTGCGCTTTTTTCTGTTTGCTCTTTTTTCTGTGTGCGCTTTTTTCCGTTGCGCTTTTAGTTTTGCGCTTTTTTCCGTTGCGCTTTTTTAATTTGCGGTTCTTTCCGGCCACCGTCATGCCGAACCCCCCCCCCCCCCACCCCCTCCCCCGCAGACAATCTGGAACGTAATATTAAAATCAAATATTAAATTTATAATTCAACCATTGTCCACCCACACTATGGTAAACTGATGGGGCGAGTAGTTTGGGTGTGGGTGTGGAAAGGGGGGGGGGAGAGCTTACAAAATAAGTAAAATAAGGCTCCTGGTTAAAGGCATCTTATTTATCTAATAAAATACATCAAGCTTCAAAGACTAGTTCTCTCTTTCTTCTTGAGCTGTTTAAGTGTTTAAGAAGCATTCTTAAATTTAAAATATGGGGCAAATCCACCTTCGGTTTAAAACAATTCAAAGAAAATAATGCAAATTTAAAAGTGTTGGATTTGTGTGATGTAGTATTACATTTTTTAAACAAGTTACGAGAAAGAATTCCGAATTATACCCTTAGTACTTCACAATGTTGATAGATACTTTAGTTATACAAAACAGTTTTAAAAAGATCTAAGCTAGGTTAACAAATATATAGATACTGATATATGTATATGTTGTATGGTGACTACAGTTGGGTAGGTTGTGTGATGACGGAGTTTTGTGTGTACGTGAAAGTGCTACGTGTAAACAATGTGTAGTGAGATGGTTTAAAATTCGTGTATGTTCGATGGGTGTAGGACAGTGTCTAGTGCAAGGTTAACATGTGCTGGTGTGTTTTGACGTGTGGGTAGCTGAGCTCGTGTTCACGCGACGACCAATGGGAGATGGTCAAAGGGAAACTACTGGTGGCAAGGACAACCGAGAGGGGAGATAAATGAAACAACACGCATGTCAAAACCCAAGGCATGGTGTGTTCAACAACTATTTCCCTTTCTTGTGAAAACAGGCCGGTTGTGTTAATTATTGATGTAGGAATTTTTTTGCAGTGTTGGCTATTGTAAAGACCTCACAAGATAAACTAGCTTAACTGTATAACATAACTATCTTTGGTACACACATTTAAATGGGCAAAGTTGTGTGGATTCTGTGTGTTGATTATGATTTGTTCGTGGAATAAGCAAGGACTGTTTATTTTTGAACATCGTCACTACGTAGTCAATAGAACCCATCAACAAGAAAATCAAACATGAGAAAACATCAACAAGAGGCTTCATCAACTAAAGGACCGTTTTAACTTGAGAACCCATTAAATACTGGACCCATCAGCTAGAGGACCCGTCAGCTAGAGGACCCACCAACTATAGGACCCATCAGCTAGAGTACCCATCAGCTAGAGGACCCACCAACTATAGGACCCTTCAGCTAGAGTACCCATCAGCTAGAGTACCCATCAGCTAGAGTACCCATCAGCTAGAGGACCCCTCAGCTAGAGGACCCATCAGCTAGAGGACCCATCAGCTAGAGGACCCATCAGCTAGAGGACCCATCAGCTAGAGGACCCATCAGCTAGAGGACCCATCAGCTAGAGGACCCATCAGCTAGAGGACCCATCAGCTAGAGGACCCATCAGCTAGAGGACCCATCAGCTAGAGGACCAATCAGCTAGATGACCAGAAATGGTGAAAATCAGATAAGTGTGTAGCATAAGTGTATATGTACACAGTAAACGAAAACATATCACAAACAAAATAACACAAACCAACGAACATAAGCTACCACCATTAACCGACAACAGACCACGATAGACCACAAAACTACGAACCACAACTAACACCACTAACCGACAACCGACCAACCAACGACAACTAATCCACTAATCGACGACCAACCAACCAACGACCACAAAACTACGAACCACAACTAACACCACTAACCGACAACCGACCAACCAACGACAACTAATCCATTAATCGACGACCAACCAACCAACCAAGCAACCAACGACCACAAAACTACGAACCACAACTAACACCACTAACCGACAACCGACCAACCAACGACAACTAATACACTAATCGACGACCAACCAACCAACGCCCACAAAACTACGAACCACAACTTACACCACTAACCGACAACCGACCAACCAAGGACAACTAATCCACTAATCGACGACCAACCAACCAACGACCACAAAAATACGAACCACAACTAACACCACTAACCGACAACCGACCAACCAACGACAACTAATCCACTAATCGACGACCAACCAACCTACGACCACAAAACTACGAACCACAACTAACACCACTAACCGACAACCGACCAACCAACGACAACTAATCCACTAATCGACGACCAACCAACCAACCAACGACCACAAAACTACGAACCACAACTAACACCACTAACCGACAACCGACCAACCAACGACAACTAATACACTAATCGACGACCAACCAACCAACCAACCAACGACCACAAAACTACGAACCACAACTAACACCACTAACCGACAACCGACCAACCAACGACAACTAATACACTAATCGACGACCAACCAACCAACCAAGCAACCAACGACCACAAAACTACGAACCACAACTAACACCACTAACCGACAACCGACCAACCAACGACAACTAATCCACTAATCGACGACCAACCAACCAACGACCACAAAACTACGAACCACAACTAACACCACTAACCGACAACCGACCAACCAACGACAACTAATCCACTAATCGACGACCAACCAAACAACGACCACAAAACTACGAACCACAACTAACACCACTAACCGACAACCGACCAACCAACGACAACTAATCCACTAATCGACGACCAACCAACCAACGCCCACAAAACTACGAACCACAACTTACACCACTAACCGAC